AATTGTTTTATCCACACAACATGATATAATACTGGATCCGGCGTGGCCATGGCCCATTCCGATTGCATCTCTATCAGATATCTATGTATAACATGGAAGTTTCAGCGTGATAGGCGGGAAGTGGGCGCATCACTCCGTTCCGTGAAACGATTCCGGTCGATATTTATAGCGGTTTGAGATTTGATATGTACGAGGGAAATTTATGGGCCATAACCGTACTCCGCGTAGACCTTGAGTCCGTCAATGGAGACGGCGGACCCGGAGTAATGTAGCATCAGCCAATCTCAGGGATTACTTCAACGGCGAACCGATGTTTGGTGATGGACCCATTCGGTAGATGCGTTGATGCCTAGGGTGTCTCAGGGGGGTTGTCGATGGTGGGAGGAGGTAAATGTTGTACATAATTTCAATTGACCTTTTTTTTTTTTTTATTTATTTTCCTTGAGGGATGGTGACGACAGTCTCTCCTCTATTCCTTGAGTCTCTCCAGTTATAATAGTGACTTAAGTAAAAATGGACGCAAGACACGAAAAAGGGGGGATGGTGTTGGCATGACTGATTGATTGATGGATTTTACTAAGGAACTTGTACTTCCCCTGTACACACTAAGCCTATTGTAAAACCGAGCGCGCTGCGAACCGCACCCAAAACGGCTTAGTGCCACCTGTTCCTGACACTAACCCTGGTCCACCTGCGCGCTATATCGGAAACGGCTTAGGCGACGTGCCCCATTTCACGCATAGCGGAAAGAATGGGTGATGCATCTCCATCTCCCTCTCTCTTCCCCCCTGAAGGGCGATCGGAACTTCGTCATCGATTGCCCCATAGCCATGGATGCTCATGTCGGATCGTAAGCCTGGTTTCCATGGATTGATTCAATGCAAGTAAGTTCATTCGAACTCTACGCGAACAGGCTAACCGATCAGAATGAGCAGCCACCCCAATATATGTTAACCCCCTAAACGAATGCGAAGGGAGTCTCATCATTACTCCTTTGGGTTTGACTTTGCCAATCCTCTTCGTCGAGGGAACTAAACTCTCCACCCGAACAACTTCGCCCACGGCCCTCCTCCCCTTTTGGCCCTACTGCAGTTTCCCTGGGGGGCAATTCAAGCCCTAGGATTTTTTAGTCCCGTTCGTTCCCCCCTTGTCGTTGGTCCTGGGATGACACGAGTTTCTCCGCTTTCCTCCGCAGCCTCGCGGTCATTTCTTAGCACGAGTTACAGGCATCGCTAGTCGGGAACACACGATCCTCATTCCCCTTGTGGGGACGATCGGCCCCCGACTGCCGTGCCATGTTCTCCTAGTTCCTGCCACTCTAAACTAAAGGGAGAAGTGGCGTGTCCGTGGTATGTGCTGCACACGCTAAGTTTCCCATTGATGCGCCCCATCGTGAACGACTTTCCTGACGAATTGATTGGACTAGTCATTGATACGCTCTGTCCGTATTTCTTCAATCATATTGCGTGGTACTCCCTCGTTTGCAGCCTGTCTTCTTTCTGAAAATAGTGCTTTCTTTCTTTCTTTCTTTTTCTTCTTGCGCCTCTATTCATTCGTTTGGGTGATTTCCCTTTCTATACCACGCATTGTTTCGCATCGTTCGCTACCAAAACGATCTTAACACTGGATCGATCTGTATCGCCTCCATACATCCTAACGGACAACGTGCTTCCCGGTGGCCCATTCGTTCTCCACTCGACCGCCTCTTTGCCCCCTTTCCCTTTTCACACGGTCCTCTTGTCTCACGGGCTTTCTTTCATCGACTACTAGATTTTTGTTGACCTGGTATTGATCCCTATCTAATGCAACACACACGTTCATGATGAGTGTCGTCGCCAGTAGACCCGACAGCACTGCTGTGCCCTATTCGCCAATTCCTCATCAAAGCCATGGGTACAAGGATCCTTATACAGTGACGGTGCAGCCGGTCTCATCTCGCACGTCCTCGATTTCTTCCTTTAAATCCAACTATAGTGTGTCGACAGCCCCGACGGTGTACTCCCCAATCTCGCCTAGCCCTTCATATCATATGTGCGATTCTGCTGCATCTTTGGATAAGATTTTGGAATCAAAGTTTAAACGCCTGCCTCTGGACGTACTTGATAATGTCTTAAACCAACTAGAAACATTGCATACTAGTTCAAACCAACAGGGATGCCTAACATGCTACCAGCGCGACCTGCACGCGCTGTCTCTGACTTGTCGGACATGGGAAAAAGTGGTTAGGCCCAAGCTGTGAGTGCGATATCTTTTCAGACTAGCGATAGTACTCCAACTGGAGATAAATGCTGACCGGGTGACACGGTGGATTAGTTACAATCGTATCCATATCATTGGTAACGATTCCCCAGCCCAACTGAAGAAATATCGGATGAAGCGAGGAAGCCGGCTGAAACTCCTTCGGCGCACTCTCCGGGAAAGAAAATTGCTGGCCAACCTTGTCCTGGAACTTCGTGTCCCCCAGATGGATTTGTTATTTACACAAGGGAAACAGAGCACCCAATGGGAAGAGTACAGAGATTTGGTAGCGTCGGTCGTTATGGTCTGCCCCAACCTGGAACGGCTGCTGGGCTTGAGTATTCCGTATAACCACCAATTCGATCGGCTGACCCACGCATTATCCACACGACGAAAGCTGAAGGAACACACATGGCTTTTGGGCGAGGCAGTTGATGTTTTAGAAGGATCACCCCGCAGCACCTCTTGCCCTGGAAGTCTGGGACCTTCGCAGATGTTCGAGTTTCTGGACTATCACGCCTCATGGACAAACCTGGAAACCCTGATGCTGTACGGAATTAGCGAAAATAATGCTCTTGAACCGAGCATCTTTCTGCGCATGTTCAGCCTCTTACCGTCGCTACAAAACCTGTGCATTGCAAATTTCGACGCAGAAGCCTTCGCGGATAGCACTTTGCTGTGCTTGCCATCATTAGAATCTTTGCGCCTAGAGAACCTGCCCGGCGTTACTGATACAGGATTATCGCAATATACGTCACGAACAGAATCCCATTCGCTCAAGTCATTGGCCCTCATCGAACAAAATATTGGATCCTTACTCGTGATCTCGAAGATCTTAGCATCCTTGCCGCAATTAGAACGGTTCAAGATCGTTCAGAATGACAAATGCCCCACTCTAGATAGCGATGGAATCGTCTTCCAGCCGTTGTTCGCTTCATCTACTCTCAAATACCTTCATTGGGATGTTGCTTGTCCCAATCCCAACACCGCCCTGACCAGGCTTGATTATGCTCCATTTGTGAAGCCCCCGAAACATATCAACACACCCAATTCTCATCTCGCCCAAAGCATTCTGTCGGACGGGTTTCCTCAGCTCGAGGCGCTCCGCGCACCATCTGATATAGAGCCACCTGGTGTTCTACAGGCTGTTTGCCAGCCCATTCCGAAAGGCCAGGCTCTTCTGCAGCCCGATCGGTATAGTCTCCCTCGCAGCTCCCACGGCTCTGTTAGCACACGACCAATGGCCTTACCGGCGGGAAATAACCTCACATCGGCTCGGATACGGGCTCAGACGTTCATCGACATGGCTGCGAAGGACACGGAAACCGGAATGAGAGTACTCGTCACGGACCATTCTGATGGCTATGTGCCAGACAGTGCCTTGGAAGACATGTCAGATGACGATTTAGAGATGGACATGGATGAGTCTGTGGAATGGGATTCACCAGAGCGCCTGAGACACGATAAGTTACCTGAGAATGGCGAGGGGCCTGTTATCGTGTGCGACTTTAGGATGCCCGCTTACATGGGCCGAGTAGGTAGCAGGAGGAAGGGACGGGATGTGTCCATTCCACGGTTCATCCTGCGCCCTGATATACAGGGGCAAGAAGCTGATGGTGGCCTGGTTGGCTGGAAGCACATACTGGCCTCGAACCAGTCCTTAACATACGCCGCAGGAGTTGGGGTACACTGCTTCGGAAATAAGGGCAATACCAGCCCACTTCCGGAGGAGCCTCCATCTCCTGCGTCGACGACCGTTAGCCGATTTGGCTTCGGAGGCATCACCAGGAGCTCGACATTTGGCTCAAGCCCCAACACTCCCATAACGCCCTCGACACCGATGAGCCTCTCGTCGCCGACTGCACTTCCGTGGGACAAGGACGCCTGCACCGGTTCCTGGAACTATAGCCATAAAAGCGGCCGAGATTGGTGGTTCCACATGGAGCGAGAACGCCCAGGGAATATCAAACTCATCGACGTCAAACAGCTGTTCTAGCCGGTTAACGATTTGCGCTCCACTGAAGCGATTTCACGAGTATACCACTGATCTTACGCCCCCGACATGTCTTTCGGTCGTTCTCTCTTTCACAAAAACAAGCATGCAGGGCCCATGCAGTAAACCGCGCGCGGCGATGGCGTTATGGATGGACAACGGAGGAATTTCTTTTTTCTATATCTCGAACACCTTGGAAAGGTCTCCCTTCTCTTCCCACTTCAACTCGATTTGACTTGCGTTCACCAAGAGTGCAACGACTCCTTCTATCCTTATTATGAGCACATACACTCAGACGTGAGAATCACCTCCGTCATATTGCACATATTTTTGTTTATTCTCTTTCTTTTCGTTTCTTTATCTCTTTGACATAAGGCGCATCTACCGGATAAGGACGGAAATAATCTGGGACACGGTTGTCTAATTGGGTGGTTCTTGGTTATTTTATTTTTGACTATACCTTGTATTCTTTCATTTTTTTTTTTTTTTCTTTGTCCTGATCTTGCTACTCGATGAGCTGTACATTGTCATCTGTATGTATGTATGTACATGGACCAGACCACTACTGTAGGTCTACTATAATGCCTAGTGTTATTATGAGTAATATGTGACTAGTTGTTCTTTCCTGAATCTCGACTGTGGATACTTTTTTACATACAGTAACTTTCTAGGATACGTCTTGTAGTCAAATACTCTTAAGCTGGTGATCTTTAGTCATGGTTGTTGGTGTTATATGGATATATATTAAGCAGTCCAGGGAGATGGCCTATACTATTTTGTAATACTACGAGAAAAACTAGCCAACCAACCCAAGTGTAATTACGTTTATTTATCTAGGCCAATAACCGACCAAAAACAGGACATAACATGCTAACCCTTTCGAAATTTACTTTCATCGGCATCCGGTACGTAGATACAAGGCATAAGAGGCAACGTACGAGATATATAGAAACTAAAGAGAAGATACGATCGTGACGGGGAAAAAAAGAATTCTTAAGTCTAATATAACGGTACATTAGACGTAGATGCCCATGTTGGTATCCTTCTTCTTGGCTTGTACTTCCGCGATAGCATCGACGTAGTTTTCGTGTCCGACTTTGCTCATTCCCTTCCGGAGAGCGATCATACCAGCCTCGACGCAGACGGCCTTGAGTTGGGCACCGCCGAATTCGTCCGTGCTGCGGGCCAGTTCAGCCCAGTTCACGCTGTCGTCTACGGCCATCTTGCGGGAGTGGATCTGCAGGATGTTGGCGCGGGCTTCCTCGTTGGGGAGGGGGAACTCGATCTTGCGGTCCAGACGGCCAGAACGGAGGAGAGCGGGGTCCAGGACATCGACACGGTTAGTGGCGGCGAGGACCTTAATGCGGTCGTCGGAGGCGAAGCCGTCCAGCTGGTTGAGGAGTTCCAGCATGGTTCGTTGCACTTCACGGTCACCGGACTTTTCGGAGTCGAAACGTTTTGTGCCGACTGCGTCGAGTTCGTCGATGAAGATGATTGAGGGCGCTTTCTCCTTGGCGAGGGCGAAGCAGTCGCGGACGAGCTTGGCTCCGTCACCAATGAACATCTGCACTAGTTGGGGACCGGCGAGTTTGAGGAAGGTGGCGTTTGTCTCTGCAGCACAGGCTCGGGCGAGGAGGGTCTTTCCGGTACCGGGGGGACCGTACATCAGAGCACCTAGAGAGTATGAGTGTTGGTATTATTCCTTGCCTGGGTTGGATGGTAACAGGGTCATTTACCTTTCGGTGCCTTGATGCCAAGCTTCTTAAACCGGTCGGCCTCCTTCATCGGCCATACTATAGCTTCGACGATTTCTTCAATCTGCTTATCCAGACCTCCAATATCTGTGTACTTCTCTGTTGGCTTCTCGTCGACCTCCATGGCCTTCACTCGGTTATCATATTCAGCGGGTAATGTATCCAGGACGAGATATGAATCCTTGTTTACACCAATGAGATCACCGGGTTTCAGCTTCTCATGATCTACCAGACCAATGAGGGGGAGATAGATGGTTTGACGGGTAGAGGTTTTGATGACAGCAGATTTGCCGACTCGAGTAGCATCGAGGTCGATGTTGGCACCCTCCTCGGCGGCTTCAGCCTCGACGTCCAAATCCAACAATTCAACCACATTTCCGACAAGGTATGGTAGTTGTCTAAAGAGAAAGATGTTAATGGAAATGTCCCAACATACAATAACATGATGACATATGCGGCGACAGCCCAAACCCTGCCCCCTCGCCACTATGGGTAATGCGACCCAGCCAGTTGCGAAAGAAGGGAACGGGAAACCCAGCATGTCTCAGAACCCCATACCTGTTATTTTCAATCTTCTCTTGATTATCTTTGACCTTTTCTCTCATCGTACTTTGTTCGTGCGTCAACCGTTGGTATTCACTCTTCATTATACGCATTTCGTTCTCCAGCATCCGCCGTCGCTTGACGATGTCCGCTGTGCTCGATTGTAGAATGTCATCGTCCAAGAGGTCCTCTTCGTCGTCCTTCTTCTCAGCGTCTTTCATGTCAGCGTCTCCGTCTCCGGAGGGCTTCCTGTCGTTGCCATCGCCATCCTGGGGCTTCTTCTCTCTCTCTTCACGGTCAAGGTCGTCGAGATCCTCCAAGGTCGACATGGTGGCGGGTAAGGATTAATTATGTAGGTAAGGGCAAGACACGGGATAGACAGGTATTCTAGGAGGGAATGAGAGGGGGACGGCGGTGATGCGTTACGGGATGGGTCTTGCGGGAAGAGAGTGAGAGCTGTTGAGCTCCGGACCAAACAACGTCAGCTGCTGGGTGCCTATCACGTGATTCACTGACAAATGCCCTGCCCGGTGATGCCTCAGGCCATGTATGATATAGGTCGCATTCCATGTATGTACATGAGGGTTCCATTGATCTGTGTAAATTCTCTTTCCTTTTCTTCGCTCAAGTCTAGGCATATGCTTTCTCTTCAGGTATATATTCCCCATATACCGCAAAATATGTACAACTACCCACCCTCCAAGCACAATTCCCGGCAGCATTTTACAAGCGAGTTGCCGAAGACTCCTATATACTTTCTCCCTCTACAGGAAGAAGTTCGGGTTGTCGATGCGTCCCATAAAGTTGCCTATGTTGTTCAGGATCTTCTCTCTGCCGAACCTCAAGAGGCGATAACGCGAAACGTAGTCATCGCTGTTGACTGGGCGGGGTCAGCATGTTCTCTCACGGATATATTGCACTGTATGGATATCGGAGGTTGGTACTACTTACTGTATCCGCCACACATCCTCCGCTTTCCGGTGTATTCGGAGCGACCATGAAGCATCCTCCAGTTGTCGAAAACTAAGACAATCAGCCAAATTCTATACTTGGAAAGATCCTGTTTAAGTCAATACTTACTAAGTGCTGTTCCTGGCTCTAGCTGGGTCCATATCTGCATTTTCTCGCGTGTGATTATGTCGTTAAAGTGCCGGGCTGCATTGTACCATCTATTCTGCTCTTCTACAGTCCAGTCCTTTTTAGCCGCCCGATCATAGTTGTTCCAGCGGATTTGATACAGGTAATTAAACTGCGGGTGGATCTTGAAAATGGGCATTTGTTCTGTGGGCTGGATGCAGGTTTCCTCATTGCCGCTTGCATGGAACGGCTGCGGCATTGCTGCTAGCACTTGGAAGTTTTGCGGATTTTCTGCTCGCATGATTTTTGCAGCCCAAAAGCCATCGACAAGCAAGCTGGCGCCTCCATCACCGTCGGTATGTGACAATAGATGGAACAGTTGAAGCCGTGCCGGGTCAGTGAAGTACGTATTGTCTGTATGTGCACCAAGGAACTCTGTGGTATATGCAGTGTCCTTGAATGTCAAATCGGCCGTAAAGTCCCAAAAGCCACCTTTGCGTAATCAGTATAGAGTCGAGAGCCTATTTTGTATCGGATAAAGGATTTTACCATAGTGAGTATGTCTGATGAAGGCGATTCTCTCCAGGAGGGTCTTGGTTGATTCTGGGTCAACGGGGACACCTTTGACGAAGCAGAAGCCATGGAGATACTTTACAGCGGTTAGATAGTGCTCCAAAACAAAGGGAGTAGCTAAGACGTACAATATTGTGAAGCCATTGACACAAGCCCTCGTCACTAGACATCACCTCTTCATATAAGACTGTTGGGTAAGAGGTTCTTTCAGGCTTATGGGCGATAAACTTTCTACACAAGAGTATTAGCACAGCACAAATATATATCTCACGACATATTTACCTCATTTTCTTATTTGGCAGTGACTTGTCAACCGCACGATTTTTCAACGGTGCAAGACTATTTAGCCAGTTAACTGGGTAGACACCCTGGTGGCCATCAGACCCTTCCATGCGGTTAGCCCTGATACCCAGGAACAAGAGAATGGGGGGCATACACTGTACTTTAGCGATTTGCTCTTCGTAGGTGACCTTTTTCGGGGTCACATCCGGCGGTATCTAAGTGAAGAACAAGGACTGTCAATTTATAATGGTCTCTCAGCGCCCTGGACTAGAAACATACGGAGAAGGTGTCCACGCTTCGTTGTCTTGTATCTGGATGGACACACTCAGAACACTGGCAATTGTCCCTATTATCAAAGACAGTCAAGTAAGTATTGTTGGCTCGTCCTTTCGGCATGTTGATACGTACCGAAGCCAAAATCGTCCACTATATAGAGCATTAGCTGGTGTCTGTCTCCACAGCAGGGGTACTAGGAATGATCTTGAATTACTTACAACTTAGCGGTAGTCGTGCGAGACGTCTTCATTACAATAGGCTGATTTCTATACCCTGCAGATTTGAATGGATACACGATCTCGAGGGGTGCTGGTCTCTCTGGGCTAACGGCCGTATGCGATGGCTCTGCAGAGGATGGCTCCGTAGAGAGTACTTCTGCAGACGTTTCTGCGGCAGATGCTTCGCCAGAGTTGACTCCGCCCTTCTCATCATGGGAGAGATGACATGACCGCGGGAGAGTGTAAGTGAAGGTCTGGGACCCTTTGAAAGACTCAGAGAGCCGCCAGCCTGAATATATTAGTCGGTTTCTTTCAGCTGTTTTTTCTATACAAAAATATCTATGCTTCACTCACAAATCGGTTAAGCTTCGGAATGCAAGGCGGGTATGCACTGTCGATCTATTAGCATACGTGAGCAATGAATTCTATGTTGCGGAGAGCATTTTACCCAGCAGACGCAGAGGGCCTCAGAGCTTTGAGAGGTAATATTCTACTCATTTTCAGAACTACGTTTCATCAATGGCACTCACGAAGGGATGTCGACGAGGTTGACTTTGGCATCAGCTAACCCCGTTTCTCTCCGCAACGTCATCTTGGCTGTCACGTGTCGGCCATCAACCCCCTCAATAACAACATGCTCTAACGGAGTAATTCATTGGGCTTCAATTTCTTTGACTAATCTAATTTACTCAGAGCAGTGCAAGCCTATTGGAACCTGTGGTTGTGCTTTGCCCACACCAAAAGCTATTTAGAATTCCTTCGTTGGTGGACAACAAACCTCGGTTACAAGCTTCAGGTAGTAGTAAGATAGGATATTGACGATGCTTTCGCAGCAAAAAATAAGGATGGTAATTGCACTCGTTAAATGCTATAAACGAAGCATAGAAGTCATGAGATACCAGGGTCTTCCTACCGAACCCATCACAGCTTGCTCTTCGACCCAGTGACCTTCAGCAGACAACGGCCGTTGCTCAGCACAACCTTGCCTTTGTTATTTGTGGTTACGAATCTGACTTCCTCGAACCCATCTTCAGTGTTTCCTGTTCTCCAGATCTCGGTGGTAAGCTTGTCGCCTGGGAACACTGGCGAAGCAAAGCGTGCCTGGAATTCTCTCAAGTTCTTTGGATCACTGCCTCCAAGCTCTCTCAGAATGCCATGAGCGGCAGTGTTCCAGCTGAAGAGACCGTGGATAATAACGCCCCCGAATCCCATCTTCTGACCGGGCTCAGGTGTAGCATGAAGAGGGTTATAATCGCCATTGAGACTAGCGAAAGTATGATATGAGCATGGATACGCGCTTCAAAGGATCCTTATCCGGGTGAAATCAAACTCACCGATAGAGAAGAGGAGTTTCAGCTGTCGTCTGAACGACATGAACAGCATCTGGTTTCTTGCCTTGAGGAGGGGGGTAATTGACGGCACTCGGTCCTATGGGAAGAGAGTCAAGTCAGCGGAGCGAAAAAGCATCAATATGTGCATAAGCTTACCCTTAGGTCCACCCCAATTTCCCTGTCCTACCATGAAACCGCTGCTCACCGTCTTGGTGTACACCTCCCCACTCTCATCCACAATTGACTGCTCCGTCTCGACCACCGAGCCAGCTTTGCCTTTATCGTAGACTCCAATAACCTTATTACGCAACTGAAACTTCTTGCCTTCGCTCGTGGGAGGTAAAGGTTTCAAAATAGTGATCTTGCGCTGGCCATCTACACCACGGCGAGTGTCGAATTTCGGGACGCCGGGGATGGGAGTTGCTTGCGAACGTGCATAGAAATCAATGACTTCTTGATCGGTGTGTTTGAAAGCTACATGAAACAACCGCAATCAGCATGCATAAACAGCTTCGAGGGCTGGATAGCCATACGGAGGATCAAAGAATAAGTCGGGAACACAGCGAAGTTAGGATGGAGCTCCTGGATTCAATAGTTAGCGAAGTTACCAGCTGAAAAAAGTATGGCTACTAATTGTAGCTTACATATAGAAAATGAAGCTCGTCGGCTTTAGCACCGATGCTGTTGGCAAACAACAAAGCATCGCGCTTAAGCCAGGAGACCTCCTGAGGAGGATATTCAAAGCCAACGCCGGGAGCCGACATGAGGACAATGCTAGTAGTGGTCAAGTTGAGGAAAGCTTCAGGAATGAATTGTTTGCACGAGTAGATTTCCCGCTACGAGGAGACTTCGAATTAGTATACTATATAATCCACCAAATTCTCAACGAAGGAGGATACTATGTAATCTTTATTTGCGGAGAATATATACTTGCCGCTATGGTCCCGTGGCCTAGGCTAGGGAGAACTGATCCGGTGCGGGGAAGCCGAGGCACAGATCGAATGGAACGGTTTCTGATTACAGGCCGAGGGGCCTCAGGTTATCCAGTCGACCAGCCCAAAACCAACTGGACTCTTCTGACACGCGACCTTTCAGTAAGCCATGGACGTAGCCAAAATAAAATTATCTAATTGAACGTAGCAAGGACGCAAGTTTAGCTGTAGAACATGATGATTTGAAGCTAAAGAACTCAAGAAGGAGAACGTCGGAGGGAGTTGGGACTGAGCGTCGACTCGGGGTATCTACTTGGGTAATTCGAGGAGCTTCATAATCGTCTCTTGTGCAAATCATCTCTCCGTATCGCGCCGAACAATGATGCCGTTCCCCTACCTGCCAAAACACAACGCCGGATGAATAAGAAAAGAGAAAAAGAGCCGAATCAGGCCATTCAACGACCCAAACGTCCAGACAATTGAACTTCCACTGATGCTATGCTTCCCACAATTGAACCCTCATGCATTACCGACATAACATTGTTGACTCAGAAGAGAACATTGAAATAACCGAACGTGCCGCGATTCATCAGATCCAATACATTTAGCACCTATGACAATTAGCATTCAGTCACCAGAAGGCTTGGCAGTGGAGGCCCTTACATTCTATAGGAGCAGCTGCCTTCAGAGTAACGAAGTTTATCGGTGGTCTCGAACTTGTAAGAGATAGTGATGTCAAGATCACGCTTGTTCTTGTCATTGGGCTTGTTCTCCAACACTCCCGAAACGACTTCCTCCTCTTCGACGGTCAGAACATCACGGAGGTAGAAGACGGTCTGCTTCCAGTGTGTGTACTTGGCGTGGGGGCCGGTGGAGAAGGTGATGGGCTTGTGGCAGGCACCAAACTCGATATCGAACCAGGCGATCACAGCATGGATGAAGTCGCTGCGCTTGGCGGCAAGAGAGAAGGGGACCTTGAAAGCGAGATCGGCCGGGGTGACGGTGTAGAGGTCAAGGGTAATGATGGGGCAAGGGTCGGTGACGAGGGCCTTCAGCTCAACGGTATCCACGAGGGGTTCCGTGAGGGCAATCTCCTTCATGGGGGAGTAGTCAAACCCGTACACATTATCCCAGACTGCGACTCAGTCAGTATTTTCGGGCAACAAACATAATCGAGAGATATCGTAGGCGCTCTTACATCCGATCTTGTCGTCCTTGTACTCGCCGTCTTCGATAGCAGCCAAGTACATGGTAGCCTTGTCGGGGAAGATCTTGCCACCGGGGACAAGATAGCGGTCGCGGGCATAGAGAACAGTGTCCAGCATGCTCTCGTAAAGGAGGAAGTAACCCATCCACTCGGAAATGATGATATCAACCTTGGGGTAAGGAAGGACAACCTCCTCCATCTTTCCTTGGAGAAGAGTGACCCTGTCGGACAGGCCGTTGCAAGCGACAATCTCCTTGGCCTTCTCAATGATAGAGGACATATCCACACCGATTACGTGCTTAGCACCAGCCTTAGCAGCGAACCTGTAGAGCCATAGAATCAGTATATAGAACAAGGTTCTTCTAGCTGACCACATACATGCTGAGGATACCGGTTCCACAACCGACATCGAGAACAACCTTGTCCTTGAAGATATGACGGTTTTGGTAGATAGAATCACGGTAAGATCTGGTTCGGACATCGTCTTTCTGCAATCGAGCACATGAGTATTAGTTGGTTGCAATAAAAAGCTGAATGAATAGTAGGGCACATACAAGCATCTCCTCATGAATGCCTAAGTGGGGTTCAGGATTAGCCAGTATATATCAACTGAGTTATCGATTGTAATTACCATGATGATCGTAGCTATTCCTCCTGTTAGCAATGTAAATGAATATGGAGCAAAGATCTCAAAGCATACCTTGTGAAATAACGCACTTCAGCATGATCCATGCCCACCATGCGATCAGCACTGCTGGTCATGGTGCCAGCAGCCTCTGCGGATTGTGTCTGCTCCGATGCGTTCATATTCAAACTATTGATCTTTCTAATAAAGAAGGAAAATGTAAGAAAGAAAAGAAAGAAGCAAACAAAAGAGTAAAAAAAAATCTAGAAGTATAGATAAAAGAGATAAGAGGGGAGGACTAGATTAGGCAGGGAGGAAAAATAAGCGCCTCCGAGATAGATCCCTTCAACTTTTTTCCCTTCTTTTTTTTCTTAACTGGCCTTCATTGGAAAATCTCCTCCAACCGGGGCTACCAAACACAAAAAACGCTAATCTCTGATTCGGGCTAGCCTAACGTAGACTACGCTATCCCGGATTCATCGAATCACGTGCCGTACTAGGTTCAATTCAAGTCATGATACCTGATTGGGGTTGGACCGCTTTTATTGCTCCTTCTTTCCTGGAGGATGTAGATCAGGTTGTCTCAATTGAGTACGGCATTGCCGGTGACTGATAATTAGAAGAACTGATGCTTAGATAAAGTGATATTTAAGTTGAGGACTCCACTCTGAGTACAATAAGTTAGAAATTGAGATCATGCAAACCTTGTCGTGAGAAACTCATAGGCTCCTGTGCAAAGATATTTCAGAGTGTATTATAGTACTACTACATAGGAAGACCAGAAAGTGGCACATTTTGAAATAAACAACTCTACAGAGTAAGATGTCCAGCTTAGAGCTGCCAGCTGGAGTTGTTGTATGCTCCGTTAATGCCAAGATGTTTGCATTGCCGCAGCTTAACTCCGCCTTCCGCTGTTGGTGCGCGCGCTGTCAATCAAGCGCGGAACTGCTTACTCTCCCCTGAAGTTAGCACGTCTCCGTCGGCGGTAATTCAGGCACATAGGGCACAATGTATTGGAGCGCAGCCCGAAGGAAGGTTTTCTTCTACGCATGCTTCCTGGTCCTTGCTACTTTCATTGGGAAGTCGACTGCCTCCCTGGGCGACCATCTTCCTGATTTCAAAGAATGTGTTAAGGTATATAGCGCCTCGAAGAGCTTCGAATTAACCGGCTAATCAACAGATAGATATGTCAAACTGAGAACTGTCAAGATGGAAATTCCGTGATCCGTACGTTCGAACTCCATGTTAACTACTGAGACAATCTTCCCTAATCTAGTTCGTCCTCTTTAGCTTTCCATCTCCGCTTGATGTGGTGGACCTGTCCCGCCGAATGCGACTATACTTGCCAACATGTTGTGACGGACCGTCGAGTCGCTCGTGACCCTCCGATGCTCAATCCAGTAGTCCAATTCCATGGGAAATGGCCGTTCCGCAGGATCATGGGCATGCAGGAGCCGTTTTCAGTCCTCTTCTCCCTCCTCAACTTCTATGCCCACTGGCACGGTTCATCTCGAATCCGCGAAACCATGGCGACGTGGCATACTTCTCTACGGACTTACTATCTTGCTTTTGGATATTGCGGTCTGGCATGCTGGACCTTCAGCAGCATCTTCCACGCCAGGGACTTTTCTTTGACAGAGAAGCTGGATTATTTCGGGGCGGGCGCAAATGTCATGTATGGATTATACCTGGCGATTATCAGGATATTCCGATTAGACAAGGAAGAGCCGCAAATGAAACCGACATTGCGTCGGCTCTGGACTGTGGTCTGTATCTTCCTGTATACCTTACATGTGTCCTATCTCAGCTTTTGGTCCTGGGACTACACCTATAATATGATCGCGAATATCGTGGTCGGGATGACGCAAAACTTGTTGTGGGTGGCATTCAGTATTTTTAGGTACCGGAGTACCCATAAAACGTGGACTCTCTTGCCAGCAATCTGTGTGGTTTGGATTATGTTGGCCATGAGTCTGGAATTGTTAGACTTCCCTCCATGGCATGCACTCATCGATGCCCATAGCCTTTGGCATTTGGGAACTGTTATTCCCACCGCGCTGTGGTATATGTAAGTCCGCGCGTTGTTAGAACTTTTCCTTACCGACCGTCAGGCTAACTCGACTGTGATCGATAGGTACCTAGAAAAGGACATCGAAGAGGATGTGCGGGGCAAGAGATACAAAGCCTGAACAGATAGAATTTTCTCAGCTATGGGTAAAATGCTCCTGGCCTGAGAATAGTACGTCCGTTGCTGTATAGTAGAAGGTCCAGGTGACCGACGATCGACGAGTGTCAGAGGCTAGTGACAATATCAACGAAGGGTATATGCTGTAGCCAAGAAAAGCATATAATTAAACCATGGGTATTTTCTATTACCCAATGCTTTGATTTAGGGCATTTCCCTTCTCTTTCAAAAATTTGGGTGTCTAACGTAACGAACTGTGCATGTTCCCGCTCACCGCTCGGAGGGGCTGTACCCAAAGCCTGCTTTGTCTCACATTTATCTGGTGTCACGGGCCTGCTGCTTTTTTCCCCTTTCGACCCAAGCTTTATAGCATCCCTTCCCCCCTCCCCCCTCTTCGTCTTTTGCGTCCCTTGTCAATTGACTCCCGCCAATTTCTAACCCACCCTCAACCCTCTCTCGACCCAAATCCACGCCACAATGGCGTCCCCCGCTATCAAGAAAGCCATCACCGAGGCCGCAGCGCAGTATGTCAAGCCGGAGGGAAAGGTCTTCCAGTATGGTACTGCGGGGGTGAGTTACTAATGATCCACCTCACTTCCTTATTGAGTACTGACCAAATTTCCTTCTTGCAGTTCCGTATGAAGGCGTAAGTTCCACGTTTATGTGTACTTTCTTTCAAGCAAGGTCTTGTGAAGGATCAGCCCCGCCTCCACATATACCCCGCGATCGCCATTTGTTTACACTTTGACCAACGCATATTTTTAGTGACGTCCTCAACACAGTCGTCTTTGCTGTGGGCTTGCTCGCTGGTCTCCGCTCCAAGAAGCTCAGTGGACAATGGATTGGTGTCATGATTACTGCCAGTCACAACCCTGCGGAGGACAACGGCGTGAAGTTGGTTGATCCCATGGTGAGTTGCGGCCGCTGCCTATGAATAAAACTCTATACGAAGCAGTTGCTGACTGAATTACCAAATTAGGGTGAAATGCTTGAGGTATGCTCTTCACTAAAACTAAACCTAGCTGTTACGACTGCATATTTACTTAACCCTTGAGTAGGCTGAATGGGAAACCTATGCGACAAAGCTTGCCAATGCTCCATTAGATAAAATCGCCGATGTTTACGAAGAACTCATCAAGGAGATTGATATCAGCATGGAAAACCCTGCTCGCGTTGTTTTTGCCCGGGATACTCGTGCCTCTGGTTCCCGTCTTGCTGGCGTTCTCAACGCTTCGCTTACCGCTACGGAGGTTGAGTTCTCCGATCTGAAATTCATGACCACCCCCCAGCTCCATTACGTTGTCCGTTGCAAGAACACCTTGGGAACACAGTATGAGTACGGTGAACCCACAGAGCAAGGGTACTATGAAAAGCTCGCCAAGGCTTTCAAGGGAGTTATGCGCGGCCTTAAGGTCAAGGGCTCTTTGACCGTTGATTGCGCAAATGGTGTTGGCGGACCTAAGCTGAGAGAGCTCCTTAAGTACCTTCCTGGCCCGGAGGAGGGTGGTATCGATATCAAGGTTATCAATGACGATGTGATCAACCCGGATAGCCTCAACTTCGATGTATGACCTTAATTTTATTGGTCCTATCGTATCCGTACTAACCTATTTACTAGTGCGGTGCCGATTATGTCAAGACCAAGCAGCGCGCTCCCCCCTCGTCCAAGGCCGCTGCCCTTGACCGTTGTGCCTCCCTGGACGGCGATGCCGATCGTCTTGTTTACTATTTCGTCGACGAGAGCAATGTTTTCCGTCTTCTTGACGGCGACCGTATTGCCACTCTTGCCGCTGCCTTCATTGGTGACCTTACCAAGAATGCCGGCATCGCGCAGAAGCTCAAGATTGGCATCATTCAGACTGCGTATGCCAACGGAGCTAGTACGGAGTACATTGAAAAAGTGCTCAAGCTTCCCTCCGTCTGCACTAACACTGGCGTGAAGCACCTTCACCACGCTGCCCTGCGCTACGATGTTGGTGTCTACTTCGAAGCGAACGGTCACGGTACTATTACCTTCTCTGAAAATGCCTTGAAGATTATCAAGAGCACTGAGCCCCAGTCTCCCGCTCAGCAGCGTGCTCTTGAGTGCCTCCAGGGCCTCACCGATCTGATCAACCAAGCAGTCGGCGATGCTATCTCCGACATGCTCCTCGTTGAAGCGATCCTTGCTCATAAGGGCTGGACCCCCAAGGAGTGGCTTAGCACCTACACCGACCTCCCTTCCCGGCTGGTCCGTGTGGAGGTTGCTGACCGCTCAATCTTCAAGGCTTATGATGCTGAGCGTAAGCTCGAGTCCCCGGCTGGCCTCCAGGTCAAGATCGAATCCCTTCAGTCCCGCTACAACAAGGGAAGAAGCTTTGCCCGCGCCAGTGGCACGGAAGATGCGGTGCGTGTCTACGCAGAGGCCGCCAGCCGCTCCGAGGCTGACGATCTCGCTACTCGTGTCGCCAACGCTGTCCGTGAGGCCGCGCCGCCAAAGAGATCTTGCAGTCTTAGGTTTTGGAATATCTAATGCCCTAACGAATTCTAAGTGGTTCCATGGAACCGTATGATTGGAAGCTATCTGATAACTTGCAAGGGTACCTTGCACATGCATGTATGAAGCTTTGGGTCATCATGGCCAGACGACCACAAATCACAGGGTTAACGGCGTTGCGCAGACTTCGCAACGTCGTCGCATTATAGAGGTAATGGGAACTGTTATGAACGATCTGATGAGTTTTCTTTTGATGTGAATGCAGAGCAAATCTGACTCGATTTAGCCATTCCTTATAGTATTTTTAAATTGACTAGAAGTTAGGAAGACCTAGTAGCTAATTGGAACAAGGCCTACGGTCACCATGACAAGTAATCTACATAGCAAACTCAGTACAAGGACCAACAACTTCTTTATAACTTCATTTGGGTATTCGTTAGCAATAATCTAAATCTACATTTTACTTTTACTTTTCTCCCACTAGCCCTCTTCCTGATCCATATCCTCTCGGGACCGCTTTCCTTTGGCGAACTTCTTGCCCCTACTTCCCTTCTTCTCGTCGTAGTTTTTCATTTCCAAGATAGCACTGCGTTGCGCTTCGGATACACGCTCTGCAAGGACCATCACCTCGTCCTTCGCAGCGGGGTATTCAGGGAGCTTCTTTCCCAGAGCGCCCTCAATACGAAGCCAAGCCTCGACATCGTATTGCGTAGCGAAGCTAATAGCCACACCCGACTTACCAGCACGGGCTGTACGACCAATTCTGTGAATGAAAGTTTTCCTAACCCCCCATTAGCATCATATCTTCCCCACATAAACCCCAAAGGGAAGAGCAACTTACGAATCACCAGGCAAATCAAAGTTCAAAACCACATCGACAGAGGGAATATCAAGACCACGAGCGGCCACATCGGTCGCCACCAGGATATCCCTACTCCTCGAACGGAACTTGCCGAGGGCACCCAAACGAGCCGACTGCGAAAGCTGGCCATGCAGCGGGATGGCACCAAACCCGAGCAATCTCAGAAAGAAGCTGAGACGCTGAGTCTCGTGGACGGTGCGACAGAAGATGATGCACGATTGGCCGACGAACTCGTTCAGCAGGTAGACCAGGTACAGGTCCTTGTGTTTGTGGGGGATGAAGACGTAGGATTGTTGGAGGGTGGACACGGTTTGGAATTTCGATGAGGAGACGGCGACACGGAGCGGGTTTTGGAGAGATGCGCGCTGCAGAGACTCGACCTTGGAGCTCATGGTTGCGGAGAAGAGGTAGGTGCGGCGCTCGCGGGGGAGCACTTTCAGGATCTTGTCGAGGATGGGGCCGAAGTCCATGTCGAGGAGACGGTCGGCTTCGTCCATGACGAGGTATTTGAGGTTGCGGAGCGAGAAGCCTTTGGTGTTTTCGAGGTGGTCGAGCAGACGGCCGGGCGTGGCTACGATGATGTGAGGCTGGGGGGTTTTGTTAGATTCTGCTCGGTTTTTTCTAATTCGAGGTTGGTTGGGCGGTTTACCTTCTTTCCTAGTGCGATCGATTGTGATACCATATCCATGCCTCCAACCAGGACTGTGCTTCTCACTGAGATTGTGCTTCCTAGACCCTCGAAGGCTGCGGAGATCTGGTATGCCAGTTCACGGGTGGGCGCGAGGACGAGGCCAAAAAAGGAAGAAGGTTTGTCCATCAGGGCTTGGAGGATGGGCAGTGCAAAAGCTGCGGTTTTACCGCTACCGGTTTCTAGCATGAGTGTTAATAAAGTACTGCAATAACATGGAACATGAAGGTGGTACTATACCAGCCAAACCGATCAAATCGCGGCCCTGGAGAGCGAGGGGAATGGCCTCCGCTTGAATTGCGGTGGAAGCCTTGTATCCCATGGAATCGCAGGCCTCGCATAATTGCTCAATGAGACCCAGTTCCTTGAAAGACTTTGGCGCCTGCTTAGGCGCTTCAGGTGTTTCTTGTTCTTGCTCAGTAGTATCGGGGGCGGCATCCTCAGAGGCAGAGCTGTGGGCATCACTATCGCTATGGTCTTCTTGTTGGGGCGCCTCACGGGCGATCTTGCGCTTCTTAATGGCCGGCATATTGAATCAATATCTGACTCGAAAGGTTTGCACTCGGTGAACTGATCGAACGATTTCTTTTTCTTGATAGTTCGATATCAAAAAATCAGTGTGGGTCCCGGTAAAACAGTTGGTCCGGAAATGCTCCGCGGCTTGGTTTCCGCCGATCTACTTTTTCGGGCCAAGAAAAAAAAGTCCGTCCTTCTCGAGACGTTGAATAGCATTTCCCTTGCACCACATACCTACCATATATTTCCTGCTTTGTCAGATTCACAATGGCAAAGGCACGTACGAAGAAGCGCACTCATGTCCGTGCCCAAAATGCCTCAGCCGCTGCTGCCAAAGGCAGCAGCTCGAACATGAGCAAAACTCCGAAGTCGATGGTTATCCGTATTGGCGGGTCTCAAGTCGGTGCGAGTGTCAGTCAATTAGTGAAGGATGTTCGTTTGATGATGGAGCCCGACACTGCTGTGCGACTGAAGGTATGATACTGTGAAATCCCAATGCGCCTCTGAAAAAGAAACTAACGCTGATATCATCTAGGAACGCAAATCAAACAGACTGAGGGATTACACCGTCATGGCGGGTCCTCTCGGTGTCACGCATCTTATGCTTTTCTCCAAGTCCGCTACCGGCAACACTAACATGCGCCTGGCGCTGACGCCGCGCGGCCCAACCCTCCACTTCAAAGTCGAGAACTACTCTCTGTGCCGAGACGTCGAGAGAGCATTGAAGCGTCCGCGAGGCGGCGGCCAGGACCACAAGACACCGCCCTTGCTGGTGATGAACAACTTCAACTCCCCGAATGCAAGCGAGGACGGCAAAGTCCCAAAGCGCCTCGAGACTCTCACAACCACTATCTTCCAATCACTTTTCCCGCCGATCAACCCCCAAGCTACCCCTCTCTCCTCTATCCGCCGTGTGATGCTCCTCAACCGAGAACTCAGATCCGATGGCCAAGAAGATGACTCTTACGTCTTGAATTTGCGACACTACGCCATTACCACCCGGAAGACCGGCGTTTCAAAACGCATTCGCCGTCTGGATCCCAAGGAAGTCCGTAATAGGGAGAAGCGGGGCGTTGCTGTTCCCAATCTAGGAAAGTTGGAAGATGCTGCGGATTATCTGTTGGATCCGTCGGCTGGGGGCTATACCTCCGCTAGTGAAACCGAACTAGACACCGATAATGAGGTTGAGATCGCCGAGAGCACAACGAAGAAGGTTCTGAACAAGAGGGAGCTGCAACGCATGAAGGCTGGGGAGAAGGAGAAGGCTGAGAAGAAATTGAAGGCCGCGCCGGAGGTGGAGAAGCGCGCGGTCAAGCTGGTCGAGTTGGGCCCCCGCTTGAAGCTCCGACTGATCAAGGTTGAGGAGGGTCTCTGCGAAGGCAAGGTCATGTGGCACGACTACATCCATAAGTCCGAGGAGGATATGAAGAAGCTGGACAAGAACTGGGACAAGAGAAAGAAGGAGAAGGAAGAGCGGAAGAGGCAGCAGAAGGAGAACATCGAGAAGAAGAAGGCAGAGAAGGCCAAGGCCGGGCTGAAGGCAAGGAAGTTGAAGATGATGACGACGAGGAGATGGAGGTGGATGATGACGAGGATGACTGGCTCAGCGATGACTTCGATGAAGAGGGTGCGGAGCAAGAAGGGGAGGATGAGGACGAATCCATGGAGGAATAGAGCGAGCGTCACTCTCGGTTTCTTAAATTCTTTCACGAAAAGCGACTTCTCGCGCTATATCATGTCCCCAGGCACGAGAACCTATATGGAGACCCCAGACACCGCCTTCGCTGCTGTCTTCCGGTGTCGTTCATGCACGGCAACCACATCCACTTGGCTGGAGTAACGACAGATAGAGTCGCCCTGGCTTTCGGCATTGCTACAAAAGACTCCAAGCATCTTGAAAAGGAATCTCACGGAGACTGGGGTCGGAGGGTGTTATAAATAGACTATCATTTAGGTGACCAGATTATACCCTTTGTTGAATAGCAATAAAAAGTAATTGGCATTTCAATCGACAACACAATAGTAGTTAGTAAAGCAATCTATACATCACGATCATAACCTCATTTTCTCGACCAGTCATGCCTCATTTCTTCAACTTCTCCTCCACAATCCTGGACACCATCTTCTCCAAAATCGCAAAATCGCCGCCCCCAACCCCGGCAAAGTAACTCTGCACACTCTTCTCCACATACTTCCCAACAATATCAATCTCCACATTCACATCCTCCCCGACCTTCTTCGAAGCCGTCACGATCTTCTCCTGCGTATACGCAATAAGCATAATCTCAAAATACCCCTCCTCGCCATCGACCACCTTGGTCACCGTCAAACTGGCCCCATCCAGCGTAACATAGCCCTTCTCGACAATATACCGCAAGACGCCCCGGTCACGCGGCTGCAGCCGCAACACCAGCGCGTTGCTATCGGGCGTGACAGAGAGAATGGTCGCGATGGTATCGACGTGGCCCTGGACGAAATGGCGCCCATGCGGGTTTCGCTGAGGACCGCGCGCTCGAGGTTCACCCGGGAGTTGGTGCTCAGGGAGCCTAGGTTCGTGCGACGCAGGGTTTCGGGGGCCACGCCGACCTTGAACCAGGTTTTGTCGAAGGCGGTTACTGTTAGACAGGTTCCTGTTTTTTCGTTTGGTTAGTGGTGACTCAGTGGGGGGTGGGATGTCCGATGCGGGGGTGAGTGGTCAATGGGGGTAAGTGGGATCTGTGTGTATATGTGCAGGACAGCGTACCGTTTACTGCGATGCTGTCGCCGAGATGGGCGTCGGTGAGGATCTCTTCGCAGTTGGTGATGGTCAAGGACGTACCCCCGCCCCCGCTTGCGGAGGTGTCGAGGGGCTCGAGGGACGAGACCGCTGGGAGATGTCAGTTGCCAGAGGACGGTGGGTTGATTGTAGGGGTGTGCTCACTCCCGATTGTTTCGACAAGACCGGTAAACATGGTGTGATGTGTGTAGTAAGGTGTAGCTGTCAATGCACTCCGCGGCAGTGGAAGCGGAAGAGAGCGGGAGATCAGAGCTATACGTAGGTTAAACAAATGTTGTAGCCCGCCCCGCCGCACCGGAGTGACCAATTACCTAAGGGAAGGAGCCTAGAATTACATTCAAATTAGAATGAGTGTTGATGTCCTTCCAGTCTCCTTCTACTCTAGAACAACCAAAAAAATATGCCGAAAACAAGTCGAATAGCACTCACGTTTCGCCCGCTCGGCGCTAAAGGCGGAAATGCATGCTTAATCGACCTCGGCTTTTGGCGTCCAAGTTAAGCTATCGGCGAAGTACCCGAATGAAATGACAGGAACATAAATCAATCTATCGCGCTCCGGTCGCGGCCCTGGAGAGTACATGATATACATGCGTGACGACCCCAACTGTACATGACTTGGATCTGATTCATTTATTTTTCTTCTTGCAATCCACATGTACCGCGTCAATTGAACGACAATGAGCGTCACGTTGAAATTGCACCAGACTGTTCTCGCCCGCCGGTCAGCTCTCCGCTGGTCGAGCTCTGTTCTCCGCCGCAGCGCAGCTCCATGGCGTACATACTCCAGTACCCCGGCAGACGACACGCTGCCCTTGAAGGGCGTTCGCGTGCTTGATATGACAAGGGTTCTGGCTGGTGTGCGTATTTCTGATCCTGGTTCTCTATATTATTTCTATATTATTGTTGGGGCACTGGTGCTGACCATGATATAGCCATACTGTACGCAGATCCTTGGAGATTTAGGGTATGTGTGTTATTGTTACCGGTGTTGACTTCAGTTCAGGTGGGTAATGGCTGACTGGACGCCCCGGAATAGAGCAGATGTTATTAAGATTGAACACCCGGTGCGGGGCGATGATACTCGCGCCTGGGGTCCGCCATACGCCAAATATCAGGATGAGTCGCGACAAGGCCCCGGCGAAAGCGCATATTATCTAGGTGTAAGGTCCATCGCCCGTCTCCAGATCCTGTACTCTGTTGACATGGACCGGAGAACAGGTCAACCGCAACAAGAAGTCTTTGGGACTGTCGTTTCAACACAAGTCAGGCGTGGAGATCCTGCACCGTCTTGCGAAAGAATGCGACGTGCTCGTTGAGAACTACCTCCCCGGAAGTCTGAAGAAATATAACATGGACTACGAAACTCTGCGAGAGATTAACCCTAAGCTGATCTACGCGAGTATCACCGGATACGGGCAGACGGGGCCGTACAGTAACCGGGCTGGATACGATGTCATGGTCGAGGCGGAGATGGGCTTGATGCATATCACTGGGGCCAGGGATGGGGATCCGGTGAAGGTTGGCGTGGCGGTTACGGATCTGACGACTGGGTTGTACACATCTAACGCAATCATGGCGGCTCTGCTGGCTCGCATGAGGACGGGTAAGGGCCAACATATCGATGCTTGCCTGAGCGATTGTCAGGTCGCAACCCTGGCGAATATTGCTAGCTCGGCGTTGATCAGTGGGGAGAAGGATACTGGGAGATGGGGCACCGCGCATCGTGAGTACTGAAGTGTTGAGAGAAAGAGTTGCGGGTTCTGACGACTTTCAAAGCTTCCATTGTTCCTTACCGGAGTTATCAGACGCTGGATGGAGACATTCTCTTCGGGGGCGGGAACGACAGACTGTTCGGTGTGTTGTGCGACCGTCTAGGACATCCCGAGTGGAAGACCGATCCCCGGTTTGTAACCAACAGTGACCGTGTCAAGCACCGAGGGGAGATCGACGGCCTCATCGAAGAGAAGGTCAAACAAAAGACCACACAAGAATGGCTGGAGATCTTAGAAGGCAGCGGGATGCCATATGCCGCCGTCAACGATATTCAAGGGACCCTCAACCATTCTCACGGTACGTTCCCATCCACATGATACATTGTCACAGCTGTTACTAAGATCAATGGTGCAGTCCAAGCGCGTGGGATGGTTACCGAAGTCGATCATCCAGCATGCGGTCCCATCAAGCTAGTCAACACCCCGATTAAGTATTCCCATGCCACTCCTGGCGTGCGGACGCCGCCCCCAACCCTTGGCCAACACACGGATGAGATTCTCGGGGAGATTCTCGAATATGGTAAGGATGATATTGCTCGGTTGAAGCAAGATGGTGTAGTGTCATAAAGAGGCGACTGGTTGGCCATCGGCTAGACGTTAAGAGCCGTGATATGCATCGAACACGCGAGTAGCATGTGCAAGGGCTTCACTGCAGCGGTGAGGCCTGCAGAGCTCTGGCACCCGTAGCACCTTTTGTACATAGAGATCGCAACGAGTGAATGAAACGGCCTGCCTGAAAGCATGCTCGACACGCATTCTTGAAGGGATGAACCTCGCTTTCCAGGCGGGGGGTCGCGTCACGTGACGGTATATAAGTTTCAATCTTTGGGTCCGTCGCAACGCGAATTCTGCGCCGGTCAGGATAATCGATACTCATAATTCGTGTGGTTAGACCCATTCACCCCGAAAGTCCACGGTGTAATTGTGTCCCACTGGCCAGGGCAGGGGGGCTAATGTCACAGCAACATGGGGTTCTTCCCACGCCGGCGTCTATAGAGCCAGCGCCACCAGCCCACGGAACCTCCTCGGGCTGGCAGACATCGGCTCCCACCCTCGAGCGGGTCTCGCCTTCCCTGTCGCCCTCATTGAAACCTAGCCGCCCACCGAGCGCAATCTCGAGTAAAGTACATATCCCGAAGTTGTCCCCCGCGACCACAGAACTCGTGGCTCGGGTCACTGGCCATCGGAAAGGGGAGACGCAGAGGAATGGGACTAAGTTCGTGACGTGGAACCCTCCATCCCTCCATCCAGGCTGGAGTCATCCACGCATCCAACCATCAGGCACCATGAAGGCCTCTTCTACTATCATAGAGCTACCAACCGCTCCGTTCGTGTACTCGAGTCATATGACAACCCCTGCGGTTGCTCAACAGGCTCCTGTTACTGCTCCTCCCACTACATCTCCATCTACACATACATATACACCTCCACTTCCCCAGGGTAGCCATGACAAGCCAACAAGGCTTGTCAACATAGCACCCAAACCCGCCGGGCCGCCTTCAATAGGGGTACCAGCACCACCGCAAGATTCACTGCCACCACCACTGCCTTCACACCCCCAGCCTATAGCCCCGGCGGCTAAAGATTCACCCCCATCCGCTAAGCGCAAGAGAGCAGCCGTTGGCCCACGCCAACGAAGGAGTACCACCAATGGCACCAAGCGCAAGAAGCGCCGGCGTGGTAACGACAGTGATGGAGAAGACATCATCCGAGCGGGAGACTCGAGCTCCGATGAATCTGACGTTGCGCCGACGGCGACACAAACTAAGTCTGGCCGGCAGGTCAATCGTCCTTCTTTATACGTACCTCCGTCCGCATCCCCGACGGTTGCCAAGGACAGCAGTAACTCGCTGGATACATCGGATAACACTCAACGGCAGGTCGCAGCCGCCCGGAAACGTAAGCGGGTGTATCGCAAGCCGAAGGACGGCATCATCAGTTGTATCCACTGTCAGAGGGGACATAGCCCGCAGAGCAACGCTATTGTCTTCTGCTATGAGTGCCACGGGCCCTGGCATCAGCTGTGCCATGATCCTCCTATTGAGCCGCAGGTGGTCACGGTCACCATGAAGCAAAGACCATGGGTCTGTCGGGAATGCAAGCCCGTGCCGATCACCATCATGCAACCGACGGTTGTCAGGAGCAATCCTAGCCTCACGGGCCCGTCGTTCGGCCCTCCCGTGCATGCACCACTAATACTGCCCAAGACGGAAGTAGGAGGGGAGGGCTTCTCGGCAGACGAGCGACGGGGCTTTCTATCCGGCTTGTCGCATGCGACTCTTGTCGAACTGCTAGTCACTTTATCAGACCAGCACCCGGCAGTACCCATGTTTCCTAAGAACCTAAAGACTCTGCAGTCGAAATTCTCGTTCAAGCCAAACACTTTGGCAGTGCCTACTCCATCCTCAACATCCTCGAATACCCCAACGATCACTAACTCGATAAACCACGCTCTAACTGATGGTGTAGACATGGCCCAGCACAAGTCAGGCGTCACTCCCGAGTTCCTGCCAACCCCCTCTTCAGCCCACCAAACACAGCACGACCTGTCCGAAGAGTCCGAGTATGAATTCTCAGAGCATCGCCTGTACCCGCGTGCCGGGAACGGATTCCGTCTGTCGACGAAAGCCGACGACGTGGATATCATGTGGGAAGACGTCTCATGTCGCACGTTCAGCTACGCATTACACGGGCCGGCACGGGCTCGAGCGCAGGCGAACGAAGTCGCGCCTATCTGGGGTTCGTGATTGTTTCTTGGGCTCTTTCGTCCATCTTACCTTCGGGTGTATAGTATCGTGATTGTGCTCCTAGTTCCGAGAGCAGGAGTTGGTTGGTCTGGGTTATCGTATCGGTTTTGGAGTCAGGTTATGAATTTTGCGAATCGTTTGACGGATTACCCCGGGGGTTTAGGTTGCATGCCATATTCCATTAGATTTATGATGACATTTATGGCCTAGTAGAAGTATGATAATAATACGAAGCATCACATTCTACACCTCTTTCACAATAAGTCAACACACCAAGCCAAGTCCAACTATAAACCCCACTACACACAAACACCAACAAGTAAACATGAACATAAACACCACCTACACAAACCCAAACGCACTCTCATCCCACAACCGTCCCCTCGTACGCACCAACTTCCCCCCAGAAACCACCGCCCTCGCCATGCGAGCCGGCGGATCCCAAACCACCTCAGCCACGCTCCTGCGCGGCCTCACAACCCCACCACCGGACTCATCCACATCAAAAAACAACAGTAAATCCGGCCTCCGAATACACAGCCCAGTAGTATCCTCGTCCAACCCCATGGCAGCCCTAGCGCGCGTCGAAACACACTCATACAATATCTCGGCGTCCTCCACCGTCCCGGCCTGGTACATACCAACCGCCAAACAGGCTAATCCGAGTGGATCGACAGATCCCCACGGTGTGAATGCGTTGCCGACGTTGTTCACCCCCAGGACGACGTCGAGACCATATCGTCTGATCAGCTCGGGGACTCGTAACGTGCCGCGGACTGTATCGCCGTGCTTTGAAGTACAACAAGAACCAGAAGAACAAGAACCAGAAATAGGGGAAGAAGGAGGAGAAACACAGCAAGAAGACGAGAGGGGAGGCGAAGCCATATACAAATCACTGGTGGGCAGACCCACAAGACTAACGGGTAAAGCATGGTCACCGGTCCCAATCTCCGTGGTTAGTCGTTCCCATTCATCGTCCCTGAACAGGGTGAATCGTGTGCAATGGCCTAACATGACCCTCTTGTTAGACCGGGATTTGGTCCACCCTACGTCCCGTAAACATTGCAGGACGAACCAGACCAAGGCGCCCTTGGTGGGATCGAGGTGGTAGTCGAGGTGGAAATCGACATGTTTGTGCGTTTGCCAGGCGGTGGTGATGGCCCATTTGATGCTTTGTTTGGCTGTCTCTAGATCGGCTTCTACGTAGGGCGTGACGCCGATGACATCCAGGTGGGCCCCGTGGTCTGTCAAGGCGCAGTGCATGAGGTCGCGGTTGGCTTGGGCGTGTGGGCCGGAGAAGAGCGGGTCTTGGGCGAATGCTACGAGCTGGATGTGGCAGTGGTTGCGCCAGGAGTGTTTGAGTTGGATGCCGGTGGTGAGGCACTTATGCTGGACGGTGGTGTCGATCTCGATGAAGGCGCGCAGGGCGGTTACGCCGTTGAGGAGGGATTCGGATAAGAGCCATTCGCCGCGGCGGTGGAGGTCGGGCTCGGTGAAGGTGGATTTGGCTTGGGTGGTTAGACTCAGGGCTTCTTGGAAGGAGCCTGTCTGGGGGTGGATGGTGGTGGAGTTGAGGATGTAGGCTTTGTCGAGGTGGATGTGGGGGTGGGTGAGGGCCGGCAGGGCCAGAGGAGGATAAGATGTGTTAGGGGAGGCGTTCGATTGAGAGTGGGGGACTATGGAGCTGAGGGAGTGTTCGCTAGAGACGGTGAGGTCGTATGTTGTTGGATTTGAACTGTGGGAGTATAGACGGACGTTGGAAATAGTTTGGATTTCGGGGGAGAGCTGCGGTGGCGACATCTTGCATGTAGTTTGGGGACGGTCGATCGAGATAGTAGGGCTCTACTCTACTTCTATAGAAACCAGTTTGCGATCAGATACATGACGGGCGCTGCGGGGAAGCAGGCAAACCCAATCATATGAATATGAATAATCGCATCCATTGCTAGTAGACTATGAATACATACGGCAAAGTATTCCGGCAGCGGAGGTCTCCGGCACTTGAGTTATCTGTTTCATGCTCCTTATCTTCTCCATACCTGTTTATCAAGGGCGCTATTCAAGCGCCAGCTCCATGATCTGCCAGCGTGGGGCACGCAACCAGTCGAAATCTTCATGTCGTTCCGGGCGTACACACAATCCGATCCGCCGGAAGACCGGCGTCGCATCCGTGGTGGTCCTCGGATCGCCCCTCAGAAGGAGCCCTGATCGATGGGTGATGGGGAGTAAGATGCTATCCTCGGGGAAGGTAGCATCAGAGTCCAGGTGGATCGCTGGATCCGCTGGATTTGTGTTTCTGGATTGTTCGTTCAACCGCCCTGCGTTCATGAGCACCCTTCCTTTGATGACGATTCGGCCCGACAACACTCGACCGTACTTGTTCACCGGATCCTCCAAGGTCGTTGATGCCTCTCGCACCTTGCATGGGTAAGTTCTTTGAGGTGGCCATGTCATTCTTGCCGACCAACTGGCATCGTCGTCTTCGAATTCAAAATCAATCGGACCGTCCCACGAGGCCCAAGACCAGGACGGCCCATCAATGCGTCCATCGGGGCCGATAGAGTTACCCACACGGTACCAGAGGAGGCCACGGTATATATCGCATCTCCATATTCCTCCGAGATAAGGTCCGAGATGATGGCCTGGGAAACCTTCTTCGAAGACGGCGGCCAACCCGGAGATAGCTGGAAGCTTGTCCTCTGCAGCGTACGTCAAGGTGCGTCTGGTATAGGTTTGCACCATCTGACGCCATTGACGTAAAGTCAGCTTCGAATTCGAGCATGGGTAGCCGGACATCAAGGGCTTGTCAAATTCTTCCCCGGAAAATCCAAAGGGCCTGTCGTTTCTCGCCCACATTTCCGCACACTTCCAGACCAAATGGTGTTGTCCACAGTACAGGCGTCGTCGGGAGAGCTGCTCCTCTTGGTAAATCCAACCCCGTGTTTGAGTGACGCCTTCGAGCTCGTAAACATCAGCGAGTCCCCCATCCTCCTCATGGACATACATTTGTCCCTCGACCCGGCATGCATAATCCACCAGATTAGTAGGTACGTACGCCGTAGTGCATTGTCCGATGCCATTTGCTGATGTAAAGGCGTTGATAGTGATATCGGCGTGTCGGTAAACATCGCCCATCTTTGCAGATTCCTTGGCCCAGTCGTGGTCATCATCCTGGAGGATACAAAGGGCGTCAATCCAGATATACTGGAGTCCAATTCCGATGGCGATTTCAAATGCTTCACGAAATGTGCGTGATAGCTCAGAAAGATTGATCTCCTTCTTTAGGAGTTCCAGGTTTTGTGTGGTGAGTCTTAAGGAGGTTGAAGAAGACCAGCGATGACTGAGAGCAGCGTAGCGGGCCTCTTCCCCGCTTGTAACAAGTAGCCTGGCTTTCAACGCTTCCTGGATTACCCGGAGTTGAATGACCCTGGTTGGGAGTACGCAACCAGTGCGTCTGCAGGACAAGTGTGATTGATCACATATCGAGATCCAATGCCTGGCAAAATCACTCGTACGCCCTTCAGAGCGAACCGTAGGTGGCAGAGGATTTTCTGCGCGTTGTGCAAAGGAGACTGAAAGCTTAGCAGGTTCGCAGCCTGGGGCTCCGAGCAAAAGCACCCATCTGCCAGCTTCCATACGGTGTGATACGTAGGTGATTGCGTCTAACTGGTCGAGGTCCCATCTCTTTTGCGCTGACTCGATTCTACTTTTCCATTCGGTGCTCGCCTTGTCGAAGCTCAGGTGATATTCTTGCCATCGAGGTATGTGCACTGTCCTCTCTCCACGGCTAAACATGGCAACGCATATCAAAGCGCATAGATGACAGCCTTCGTATGCCGACTTGAGGTGGCTATACATTGTACTGAGTCGACGTCGTTGGTGCCTCGGTAGCCAGCTGCCTTTCCCACGGTGCATTTGCTTCCAGAGAGATGCCCAGGGAAAGGCTTGGCATGTTGAGCAGAGTCGATCAATGTTTTGGGTTGCCCTCAGAGCAGGCGGCATGCTTTGGTTCCTTTCAGGCAGTGATATAGTCCATCTCTCGGCGTGTAGCCATGTGAACATCTGCTGGACAGGGTCAAGTGCTTCTGTGGACACTTGAAGCCGCAAGGGTCCTTCCTCCGGCTGCTCAGGAGAATCAAATGTTTCTTCGAGCATTCGAGACTGCAACGGCCCTTGCTCTGACTGCTCGGGAGGATCAAGTGTTCCTTGGAGCATTTGAGACTCTGAAGACCCTTGGTCTGCCTGGCAAAGGCTTTTGGGCATTCGAGGTTGCGAAGGTCCAGGATCCATCTTGTGGAATTGGTGGAGAAGAGGTATTGTGTTGGATGGAGTCAACTGGATTAGTCTAGACAGCTCCAAAGCACCGTGCGGTGTGAGTAAAAGATAACAGAGGGTGATAATCAATGAGTGTTAAGGATAGAGAGAGGATATCTGATGGTTCAGTAATGAATATGGTGGTGTGTGGGAGATTGTAAAGAGGTAAAGCAATCAATTGATGGGGGAAGTCCAATTCAGTGGCCGGGCGAGAGACACGCTGGAAGGAAGGTACGATCTTCGCCATGGTCAGCATTGGAAACTACAACTGGAAAGAACTCGCCCTCAAGAAGGAAAGAAGCAGTCCTCACATCATTTACGTACATCAGAACCTGCCCCTCCCAGGGACTTGCTTAGCGATCTGCAAGGAGAGTTTTTATAGGGTAGGTTTAGTTTTTTGTTGCTTTGTATTATATCAGAACATCTCTAAAATCTCAGTCTCGGAACAGAATGTACGGAGACAAGAGTCTTCGGCCATGTTGGCCTTGCAACTGGTTTTCGCTGAAGCGTCCCATGATGATATACATTATACTTCATATAGGTGGTGTTATTATTGCAGACGGTAATCTGGTTGACGTCTCTTAGGGTTCTGGTTCTGGAAACTTAGGTCATTATATCGTAGCCCTACTACTAGGACTAGATATGGTTATTCCGATGGAACCCTCACCTAACAAATTCACAGTCTTACTCGCTTTGATCACTTAGCTTATCTTCGTTATTCTATACTTTCTACTTTTATTCATCTACTTGATTATGTCCCCAGGAAGTCCGTCCAGCGAGCTCTCTACAATGGATAGTGTCTCTTTAATTGCCCCCAAATCTCTTAAACCACTCGCCACTGCCCAGAAGTTATTTTATACTTTAAAGAAGAGAATACTAGATACAAACGGACCTTCTTACTTTGAACTTGGGGGTATGTCCCCCAAAACGGGCCACTTAGTGGCAATAAGCCTATGTGAAGACGGAAATATGGAGAGGAGGAGTATAGCTATCTCATTTGACCCTATCGTTCAAATATTGTCGATAAACATGCCATCCGCCGCCCATGAAGCTGTGCACGACTGGGCTGGAGATGAAGTCAGAACCTGCAGCTTAGATAACAGCTTCTTTACTTCTACTGAGCTGCGGGATATTTAAGTTTACGGGTCCAGACGTACGAAAGTCGATACTCTCTATGACTGAGATATACTGATGACAGATATAGGTTATGATAACTTTCCAGTACCATGGAACAACATGTACAAAGAACCCGATACTGCGATTGTCTTAACAGGAGCACCTATGCCTATGAGTACAGTAGAAGTAGGCTATACTGAGTCATGGCCAAAACTCCTGTAAGACAAGGAACTGTGGATCAATTAGGGAGCACCCCATGTAAATGCGGTGCTTCTGGTTAAATGGAACATCCGAAAAAACAACCAGGTGGCTGGCTTTCTCGAACTACATCGTCCTGGGATACCCCCTGTCTGTCTAGTAAGTATTGGTTAATTATTATAAATCCTTCTGATAGCTTTATTGCTTAGAAAGCGGCTAATCAGTGGTCTCTATTCCAGACGATATTGGAGCCCCCGCTCAAACACTCACCTGGCAGCGCCAGGCCTTTGAACCAGTGGGTCAAGTGCCACCTGGAAGAAATCCTAATGACATCTTCCTAAGGGGTCTAGATAATCTCTGAGACAGAGCACGTAGCGCTATGGCTGGGGAGGGCTTATCACCAGCGACATGGCCCAATCGAATCATTATTATCGTTGAGCATTAGTATCAAATATAGGATTTAGTTGTTTTGAAAGAGTTGTGAGGCTATTTGCAATTGCGAGGATAATGTGGCACATCATCAATCCTCCAGCTTCAGTATTTCCCTATATCTCTCACCCAAACAAGGAGCAAGCAATGTTTTTTCAAACGCGTCCAACTTCCCCAAGACCCTCCCGTTCTCAAAAGCCCTTGCAAAGTCTCCATAAAGAACTGTGTCGGAGCCCAAGCGATGCGACTGGGCCAGCCACGAAGCATCCGTAGTCACATCCCACAGAGCAGCCCCAGAAGTGAAGGGCAGGACACTCAATGCACGAACAATCGTACAATGCCCCACCTTCAGTACGGAGTACAGCCCTTCAATCAGTATAGAAACGATAACAGTTCTGCGAACACTCTCCGCAAGGATCCATTCCCGCCATGTAGGTGCGGGGCCTAGCTCGCTGGCACGAACTTGCAACCGCATGGTCCAGGCTCGCAGCGTATCCATATTCTGTTCCGCTAGAGAGCGCTGGCGGATGTCGCCGTCGAAAAGCTGGATGATGTGGAATATCAGTAGGGCCTGTACTGCCGCGAGAAACTCTTCGAGGGTGTTTTCTGGGTGATGCTGGTTCAACAGATTGGCCGTTTTGGCTTCCAGGATACGGAATATCGTGTCTTCTGTTTCTGGTGTTCTGTTATAATAGGACACGGACACGGTGAAGGCATCTTGGATTGCTTCGGGGAGGTATACGTCGTATAAGCGATGGTGGATGAATGGAGCTTTCCGGGAGCGAGCAAACATCCGCGGATAGCTCTTGATGCTTTGTAGAAGCTGCTTCGTGGACCATTTGTCGATAGCTGAGGTCTCTGGGAAATAGCCAGCTGGGAGCAATGTTGGGACAGCGAGTAAAGGAGGGCTAGATGTAAGCCACGAGGCCATCAAGTCCGTATCAGTGAATAGAGTGAAGTCATCTGACAGAAAGACTGCAGGAATATCATCCACTAAGGGTGGTGATGATGACGACGGTAGAAGTCTGGGAGACTGCCGTCTTTGCTGTTCTCTGATGTAGATGCATTCCAGCCCTCGGGCGAGACACCGTGAGCACTGCGGAGTTTGGCGGTCGCAGCGCCGCTTCCCTACAGCGCATGCGATGCAGGACTTCTGCCGAGAACGATTAGAAGGTAATGTGCGGGGCATTTCTTCGAGTCTTGGGTAATTGTGAGGTTGACAGGAACGATGACGCATAAAATCGCGGTTGAGGACCAAACTCCGCAGCAAAGTCCGCTGCCCCCACCGCGAAGTCCGCAGGGCTGCCCATTGGTATTGGGTGCTTCAATCCGCAGGCTTATGGGATCATGGATTGTATTAGTCAAGTCCGCAGGCGACATGAGATTTTGTCGTGAAATATGGGATGTGGTGAACGTACATAAAAGGGCGTTGTTGCCCTGAGTCTGAAGGATCCTTGGTACATGCCAACAAGAAACATCTCTTCCACTACAATGGCCATCACTGAACTTATTTTCCCAGCGATCAAGACTGATCCAGACTCGCTCAGAGAAATCGAGCAAGACTGGCCCATAATCAGTAAAAGATTGACACACCCTAATCCTGGCTTGCTTAATGCCTATCGCGGCTTTCTCCTCACTGAAAACGGAGAAGATGTGAGAAATGCTCACAGAGAGTTTCTTCTATTCGGTGAGTGTGCTTGGCTTACCATCTGGAAAGGTTTTGGATTGATTTGGTTATAGAGTGGGTTAAAGCGGAATGCTTCCATGCCTTCATCAAGTCCGACCAATTCGGCAGCTTTGCTGCTTCAATCAAGCATCTGGTGAATGGGCCGCCGATGCTACAACTCTTTGAAACCAACATCAGCCCGAGAAAGGCAGCTTCCGCCTCCGTTGTTGAGATCATTCGCTTGAGTATCTCGACCCCTGAGAATGTCGAGATATCAACACAGGCATGGGAACGGATCTCTCGCTTTCTTAGTGGGAAGGCTTCCATCACGTACGGACCAAGTTCCAATCTTGAGAATGATGTCGTTGCCGGTATTATAGGATGGCATGACACAGAGGTAAGACCGAGCTATGTTTATTCCTTTGATCTACTGCACCAGAGAACTTTGCTTACATTGAACAGACTCGGTCTCAGGCAATCCAAGACTCCGAGTACACAGAAGCGCTCAACATACTACAGTCCCTGGGAGACGTCAATCATATTACCGTCGATATCGCTGCAATGGAACTACCACCGCTGTGAAGTACACTTGATGAAGTGGAACTAGTCTATACATCGGCAGCATCTTAATCATCTTCTATATATCATATCTTCACTCTTGTTTTGCTCATGTTTGGCAGTATCTACAATAATCTACAATCAAATACTATGCTTCTAGTGTGCGATATAATACTACAGTGTAATAGAGCCCTGTTTCTGGGACTCTGGAGTAGTATAGAACAATACTATATTCAAGTAATAGAAGTATCAGAGAGACAGTTGTCAAATAATAGATATCTATGAAATAACACATTATATATATAGTTATATACTTATTACACAGTTATAACTCCAAGTAATCTGATCAAAAATTAGATTAGAGCGAGTCAGACATATAAGCTAGAGCCTGGAAGCTCCTGTGCCCTGTCAGCAAGGGGAAGACATGGCGATATTTAGTACTACACAACATAGGTCTAGAGCCAATGAAGGAAGCGCAAGACTTAGTCTGAAACATTGGGAATAGTTATTGCAAATATAAGAGGTCGTAGGTCTAAATCTGAGGTCCTTGTGCACCGCAAATATGTGGTGGGTTTCACAGCATGCGCAGTGGGCCTTGCTATCACAGTATCACTTTGGAGCACTTGTATAGTAGTAACACGTAGTGCGACTTTGTAAGATATAGAGTAACAAATTGTCTATCCTAAAAGGTTAAAATAGTGGTCTAATGGGACTTGTACGCTGTGGACCATGGCAATGTCTGTGTGTCTGTTGACGTCAGATGATATAGATATATATAGACAGCAATTGTCTGATACCAACCTCGAGAAAGTCAAATTCTAGGTAGAAAACTCAATTAAAAGAATAGCCCAAATACCCACAACCCAAGCAATCCCTTTTCAAACCTCCTATCCCTTCTATCTATGGCAGTAAGCGTTGTTGCGATCCAACCTCGCGGTACCTGAATCTACCCCAAACGGTATAGCGCCATCCATCCAACACTTTATCGCCAGACACAAACAACCTAGGTCACTTCTTTATCAACAGACCCAAACCCACCACCACCAGGGCAAATAAAACACCAACAATGCCCCCCAAACCCCAATAAACATTTCAACAAACCAAACCCCATATACCCAAAATGCCCCCAACCAAACGCATCCTCACGACCGCCGCCCCGCGCACCACCCCATTGCAAACCCCGAAATGGCACTCCGCACTAACGCTCGACCTCGTCCTCAGCGTCCTACGTCGCACAATCCTGCACCCCTGGCCGGCCTGGATTCTGGTGCTCAGCCTGCGCGCCCAAGTTACACCGGCCACTGACCTGGCGTTTATTATCGCGACTGGGTATGCGGTTTTGCTGACGCTGGTTGCTATCGCGGGGGTGGTGAATGCGCGGGTTGCGTATGGGTTACCGAGGACGGTGGAGTTGAGTGAGGAGGTGGTTGTTATTACTGGGGGGGCGAGTGGGTTGGGTTGTTGATTGCGGAGATCTATGCGATGAGGGGCGTTGGTGTGGCGGTTTTGGATTTGAAGGATGAGAGGGAGGTCGAGCTCTGTGAGGGCGTGGAGTATTATACTTGTGATGTTGGGAGCAGGGAGGCGTTGGAGGTGTGCTTGTGAGGATTGAGAAGGAGGTTGGTTTCCCTTCTACTTTTTCTTCTTTTGTTTGGATTGCTTTGCTTTTGTCTACTTGGTTTATGTCTGGAGTAGAGGGTCAAGATGTTTATTGGATTTTTTGGTATTCGTTCCTATTTACAAAAATGCTGATTCCCCGACAGTTAGGTACCCCTACAGTTCTTATTAACTGTGCTGCGGCGCGCATCAACGGTCTGCCGCTTTTGTCGCTCTCCGCCGAGGCGTTCCAGAAAACCATCCAGACCAACTTGTTCGCGGTGTTCCATACCTGCCAGACGTTCCTGCCTCGCATGCTGGCTGCTCCGAGTGGCGGTACGATCGTGAATGTCAGTTCGGTCTTGGGCCAGTTGTGTCCGGCGGGCTTGGCGGATTACTCGACCAGCAAGGCCGGCCTGAGTGCACTCCATCGGACGTTAGAGGCGGAGCTTCGTGTGTCGGGAGATGATGAGAAGGTGAAAATGATCTTGGTTGAGCCGGGGCAAGTAGCGACACCATTATTTGCATCGGTCAAGACACCAAATAAGTTCATCGCCCCCGTTCTCGAACCGGTCCATGTTGCTCGGGAAATCGTTTCTGCAATAGAGGAAGGAAGAGGGGGTGTCATCCGACTGCCCGCGTACGCCACGATGGTGAACTGGTATGCGGTGTTGCCTGCAGGCTTACAGCGTCTTGCCCGGTTCTTGAGCGGAGTCGACCATGCGGTAGCGCCAACAACAACCCAGAAGTCGCATGATGAACCAAAAGCAGCCAAAACGGAATGAGGTAACGTGCCGCCGGGTTGAACGCAGACGTCCATGGAAATAAAAAGTCTGCACGATGTATATAAGTTGTCTTCCGAACCAATCCCACATATGACCGGATGTGGTATATCTCCATCCCCAGAGAAAGCGCGGTGCCTACTGCTCCGAGGTCAAGATCATCTTCTGGCGCTCGCTCTGTCTTGGTTTCAGTTTGTCCTTCCTGGTGTGCTTCCGGATGTTCTCTTGGCGTCTCTTGATCGCATTGAGCTCCTCTCTCTTGATCTCGCCGGCCTTCTTGATAGGCATTGGCACGTGACGCTGGCGCTTGATTCTTCTGATCTGGGGCATGTGTGAGTATCTTTGGATCAAAGCCTGATCATACTCTAGCTTGGCCCGTTGACGGGCGCTCTTGATACCGCTGCGATCGGAGGCATTGGCACGCCAGAGTCGAATATTGCCGTCATCCGACCCGGACAGAATGTATTTATTGTCGGGTGTGAACTTAACGGAGAAGACACTGTATCCTGTTAGCAACATTGTTTGCTTCGGTGTGAGCCACATATACATACCGTTGCATTCTCTTTGTGTGGTAAATATCGCGCGAGCGACCTTCGGTTCTGTTCCACACACGGATCGTCCTGTCGTATGAAGCCGTCACCAACTCTTCACCCGTCGGACTGAATTCAACATCCATGACCGCCGCCACGTGGTCCTTCAGCACGTTCAATGCGCGATCCATCTTCCTCATATCGAATATGTAGGCGTTGTGATCTTCGTTGGCAACCGCGAAGTTGAATGCTTCCATAGGGTTCCATGTGATGGCGTTCGACGCGAGTCGTAGGACAAGCTTGTGGAGCGGGGACGAAGTTCGGAGATCATACATGATGATAGAGCGATCGATACCGGTCGATGCCAAGATTGACGTCTCCGTCTGGTTGAAGGCAATTGATGTGATGGTGTCGATGCTGGTAGGCCAGTTGAGGGTCTGGGAGGCCGTAGATGAAGGCCGAGAGAGATCGTAGATTTGGATCTGAGACGATGACGATGCAGCAAAGGATGGGAGATGTCTATGGTGGGACAAACTGGTGAAAGCACCCTGGCCCAAATAAGTCGCGAGAGGTGGAGCATCGGACGTCGAGTTGTACGGATCAAACAGTTTGACGGTCTTGTCGGCCGCGCAAGAAAGCAACTTCCGATCCGGAGTCCAGCACACGTCCTTGACAATGTTCTCATGGGCTTGTGTGTTCCAGACCTCGCCCTGGGTCGTTAGATCCCAGACCTTGACCACTCCATCACCACTGCCACTGGCGAAACGTTCCAACGAGCCTGGATCTTTGGCCATCGAGTATACACCGTCCACGTGGCCATCACCAATCTGAGCCAAGAAAGGCGCGGCGAAAAGACGTTCTAGCTTGGTGGCATTGAGAGCTCGGGTATATTCTCGAGCCCGTTCGAATGGATGTTGCGCCGGGTCAAGGTTTCGGGGCTGTCGAACGACAGCTGATCCCGGAGCCTGCTGCGAGGCAGTGGAGCGAGAAAGAGCTTTGATTTTCTAGCAGTAGAATAAGTATTATTTTCGCCTGGAATATGTAGAAATTTGCACTTACCATGACGCTCTTACTGTGTTATACAAAAAACGGGGAAAAGAAGAAAATGTTTTGGCGGCGGACATAAAAAATCCAGATACTTTTTTTTGGCGGGTAATAGTGGTTCTGGTTGGTTCGCCAACCCGCGGGCGGTGAGGGGCGGCTGTAGCTTGGACGGTCTCCAACAGTGACGATACCTCTGGTGACTTATCCTCATCAGCAAGACATCTCACATCCCCTCCAGCTTGAACCCGTTATATCTCTCCCGCTTCCTCGGGTCTCTCGCGCCATTTAGCTATCTCTATAACCAAACTCAAACCTACCGTTGCTTTCCACATTAAAAGACGTTCAATCATGGCGCCCTCCTCGACAACCGCCCAGCGGATAGAGGAAGCTCGGGCTTTAGCGAAGAAGGACGCTTCCAAAGCCGAGACCATCTACAAGGACATCCTTTCTCAAGGACCAGGGTCGACGGAAGCTTCGTCGCGTGATTATGAAAGTGCTTTGGTCGGATTGGGAGAGCTTTATCGGGATGAGAAGAAGCCGAACGAGATCGCTGAGCTCATTAAAACTAGCCGCGACTCTTTCTCATCATTCGCCAAAGCTAAGACAGCAAAGCTTGGTAAGCTGGTTGGCAGCAACGCATCACTCACCGGTCCCAATGAACTGACCCCATACAGTCCGCCAGCTACTGGACCTGTTCAGTGAGATCCCTAATACACTCGATATTCAAACCGCCGTCATCAAATCCTGCATCGACTGGGCTATCGCAGAGCGGAGATCCTTCCTTCGACAGAACCTTCAGACCCGTCTTGTGGCCATTTACATGCAGAAGCAATCCTACTATGATGCCCTTAACCTGATCAACTCCCTCCTACGCGAGCTGAAGCGATTGGATGATAAACTTATGCTGGTCGAGGTGCAGCTGTTAGAGTCTCGGGTGTATCATGCTTTGGGCAACCAGTCCAAGGGCCGCGCTGCCTTGACAGCTTCTCGCACATCAGCCGCCTCCGTCTACACCCCTCCGAATCTGCAAGCCGGCTTGGATATGCAAAGTGGTATGCTCCACGCGGAGGACAAGGACTTTACCACTGCCTTCTCGTATTTCATCGAAGCTTTGGAGGGATACAGCTCGCTCGACGAAAGCGACAAAGCCACAGCCGCTCTCCAATACATGTTGCTTTGTAAGATTATGCTGAACCTGGGTGATGATGTGACGCATTTGCTCGGGTCCAAGCAGGCCCAGAAGTATGCTAGCCCGCGTCTCGAGGCCATGAAGGCAGTGGCCCGCGCTCACGCCAACCGATCCCTTGAAGAATATGAAAAGGCTCTCTCGGACTACCGCTTCGAGCTGGGCAGCGATGTATTTATTCGGAATCACCTCCGCCGACTGTATGATGCCATGTTGGAGCAGAATCTGATTAAGGTCATTGAGCCCTTCAGCCGGGTTGAGCTGGACCATATCGCCAAGATGGTAGGGCTCGACACCCCGCAGGTGGAGCGGAAGCTCTCGCAGATGATCCTGGATAAGGTAATCATCGGTGTGTTAGATCAGGGCTCTGGGTGCTTGATTGTATTCGACGAGACGGAGCGCGATCAGGCATATGACGCTGCTCTGGAGACTATCGAGAAGTTGAGCAACGTGGTGGAAGAGTTGTACACTAATCAGGCATCCCAGCTGGAGTAAACGCTCCCGCTGGTTTTTGAGTTATGTTTGGGAAATGATATAGCATTACAGACATAAAGCCGGTGCAGGATAGACGGCGGAGTCACGAATACACGTAAATTTCCCTTATGATGAAGATCAGATCGTAGTTTAGTAGTGAAGACATGCCAATGATGTTGATGCTTTTGGTGTTCCGGGGCATCGCCTAAACGGGTAAAGCGCGATCGCGGCAAAAGAATCGCGACTTTCAGAACCCCAAGAGACATCTTCAGTACCATCGGAGAGTTCTCTGTTGCATCGTCCCAGAACTCCTTCAAACCCGACTAGGACCCTTGTGGATTCGCTTTGCTCTGCTTAGCTAGCCACTAGTCATGAATGCTCCAATGCCGCCCACGTACGGGCGTGGGTTCCCGCAGGCCGCCCAACGGTCTCCTGCCACGCCTCGTCGCGGACCCCAAGGACCAGGTAGTCTCCACCCCTTGATCTCGTATAACTACCGCTCCTAATATCGTCTCACACAGCTGGCCCAGCAATGGCCGTACCCATGCCACAGCACCCCGTTCCCGCTCAGTACATCCCCGCCCAGCGCAACATGCCACACCCCAATGATGCTGCTCTTCGCCGGACCCGCAAGCCCACCGACAAGAACATCCCCGACGGCATCGAAGATGTGGTGATCGGGGAAGGCGTACAGCAGTACAAGGACCTGCGCGATTTAGAGAAGAGACTGGACGCCGCCATCGTCCGAAAGAGGCTGGACATTCAGGATTCGATCAGCAAGACCGTCAAAAAGTACCGGACGATGCGCATTTGGATTACGAACACAGTCGAGAACCAACCGTGGCAAGGTGCGGCTGGCCAGAACGGGTCAGCGACTAACCCCGGCTCGGGGCGTTACAAGGTGCGCATCGAGGGACGACTGCTGGATGATGATACCGATCCTACGGCCCCCGAGGATAGCGACAACGAGGGCAACGAGACGCAGGCGAATGGAGACGCCATGGATCACGACGGGAAGGAGACCAAGAAGAACGCCCCGAAGCGGTCAAAGCAGCGCTTTTCGCACTTTTTCAAAACGGTCACGGTCGACTTCGACAAATCTTCAACCGCAAACCCGGAGGAGATTAAGACTGTTAACTGGACTAAGCCCCAGCTTCCGGCTAATACTGTAACGCTGCCCCCGACTGCCGATTTTGACTCTCTGCAGTTCTCTCGAGCTTCCCAGGAGAACTTGAATGTTACCGTGAGCCTTGTTAGAGATGAGACTCCCGAGCGGTATAAGCTGAGCAAGGAGCTGGCGGAGGTGCTCGATGTCGAGGAGGAAACGCGCAGTGGAATCGTGCTTGGGATTTGGGATTATATTCGTGCGATGGGTCTACAGGAAGACGAGGAGAAGCGTTTGGTCCGTTGTGATCATCGTTTGCGATCTGTATGTTTCAACTTTTCCTTATCGAATGGGATGATACTAACGTCTACAGATCTTCGGCCGAGACCAGATGTTCTTCCCACAGATCCCAGAGAGCATCGGCCCTCACACCAGTCCCCTTGACCCGATCAAGCTTCCATACACCATCCGTGTCGATGAAGATTTCCACAAAGACCCCAGCCCCACCGTCTACGACATCCAAGTGGCCGTGGAAGACCCACTGCGCGCTAAGATGCTCGCTCTGACCCAGAACCCACAGTACACCGCCGGGCTGCGACAGATTTCCACTCTGGACGACCAGGTGTCTCTCATCGTCCAAGCACTGACACACTCGCGTGCCAAGCACTCCTTCTACACGGCGCTGAGCAAAGACCCCGCCACGTTCCTTCGCCGCTGGGTCAACTCGCAGCGCAGGGACCTCGAGACCATCCTGGGCGAGGCGACGCGCGGTGGCGGCGAAGATGCCACTGGGCCCGAGTTCCGCCGCGGAGGCGCCGATGGCGCTTGGGACTCGCCGGTGGCCCGCGAAGCGGTGCGGTACATGCTCGCGAAGCCGGAGGCCATGCTGCGGTGATTGTGTACTGGTCGTGTTTATTTAGCTATCTTCGGATTTTGGCTGGGGCGCTCATGCGGTGTTTGGTTGGGAGTGTTATGTATCCACTAGTTTAAGTATGTGTCGATGTGAATTCAATGAATTTACTATATTCTTCGATATAGCGACCTGCATTTAATGAACCATGATGTTTAATCAGCAACTTGAAAAAGTAACATCATAATGTAAGAAGATGCAAATAAACAATCTCCAAGCCCCAGCCGAAACAGATGATGACAAAAGAACCATATACCAAGCACCGATGCAATGCACAATGTGCCAGCTCATCTACCGTCTACAGCATCCCACCATCTCAGGCCCTAACTCAACACTACCTCCTCCTCCTCACATCCCCGCCGCCAACATCAACATCCTTCGCAACGCCCTCCCCAAGGAACGGACTCCCCTCTTCCTCCTCAAGCGAAGCAGCAGCCTCAAGCACAACCTTCTCCACGACCTCCTCGACCGCCTCCTCCCTTTTACCCCCGTCCTTAACGGCACCCTCCTTCGGCCCCCGGAACCTCTTCAATACCGTCTCCACCATCTTCGAAAACCAATAATAGTTCAATGAATTCAACACCACATTCGCCGCAACATAGGTCCCGACAAGCCACGTTGGCACCCCGCCCGCCGTGAACCCGGCATACTTGAACACCTCCTCATTGGCCCTCCTGCAGACCTCGTCGACGCACTGCTCTGTAAGCTTGGCCCTGTGCCCGAAGACGGCGGTGTTGATGGCGCTGTCCAGGCCCACGGAAGACCCTGCCGCCACAAGGGGAGACAGAGACCAGGTCTGGGAGAGGGCGGCCCACATGTCCTTGTAGACGAGGATGGATTGCCAGGTTCCCCAGACGAGACGGCAGGAGAAGAAGACGGAGAGGAGGAGCATGCCGTTGTACCATTGGAGCTTGGAGCCGGTGAGGTTCAGTTTATCCAGGAACCAGTGGATGTTGAGGAATGGGGAGGAGAGTTCGTAGAGGATGAATGTTGGGGAGTAGAAGTTTACGAAGGGTCTCTGCGGGTTTCTTCTGTTAGGTTTTTTCTTTTTTTCTTCGCTTCTCTTTTCTTGATTTGTTTATGGAGGGGGGGGGAGAGTAGAAGGGAGGTTTCTTTGTTGTATCGGATATGAATAAAGAGGTGGATCACATACAAACCCGAAACTAAACACCCATAGCGCACTAATGGCATGGAACAACATGCCCACGCCAAACATCCTGATGTGCACCGTGCTGACGATAATGTCGTAGACGAAGTATCCCTCGGCCAGGGCCTCGAGGAGTCCACACATGCCCGTGTATCCGTAGATGCGCTCTCCGGTGTCCATGTTCTTGCGCTCTTTGTCCACGAACATGATCCACAAGGCGAGGGCGTTGATGAGCACGCTCTGGACGAGGGAGACGACGTGGACGTCCCAATTGAGCTTGGTACGTTTGTTCAGGTGTGGGTAGTGGCGGGGGAACAGGATGGGGGAGAGCCATGGCGAGAGGAAGGAGTGGATGAACTGGTAGCCGGCGAAGGCGATGATGACTTCATGGATGTGGTCTGAGAGGGCGGGAACGTTGAGATACAGGGCCCAGGGCTCGACACGGTCTCGGAGCCATGCTGGCGGAGGGGGGAAGGGGTCCAACATGCCGGCGTTGGCGGCGTGGCGGCGAGGGTGGTGAGAGCAGTTGGCGAGTAGGGTTATTATCGGTGCCTAGTTGGTGATGATGTAGTGGATATCGGACAGTTGGGGGAGCTTGATGGCTGCAGTATAACAGCCGAGAGCTGAAATACTGGATATAGTCGGGAAGGAAAGTCGACGTGAAATTAAGGGAACGGGTCAAACGGCGGTGTCTAGATGGACCCCAGGCCAGCCATGGTCTCGAGCTGAGGTGAGGAGAAGGTCATTCATGCATCTCAAACTAATGAAATGCCGCGGTTGCTCGCGTGCCTTGCGGATGCCTGATTCGTGGGGCCGCCAGTTGGGACGAATCCGTTGGGGAAGCTGACTCAGCGCCTGCTGATCGCCCCGGGTCCCGTGATTGGATCATTAGACGTGATCGACTGCGCTAGGCCGTTTCCAGAATGCACGCCTGAGCGGTCTAGATTCCACATCAATATAGGGCTATATGAGTGCTATCAGGGACCACACTCTTTTCTTTCATGCAGAAACACGCACATCACCCATTTCTGTAGGTCTGGAAACCATCTCAAGAGTCGTGACATCACCGCCCAAGCCTATCACATGGATATCAGCGTTGGAGACATGGTTAAGCATGAGGCAAGACCCGGTCAGCAGAACAGGGGAATTCTACAACCTGTCTGGGATGGAGTCTATTTACAGGACTAGAAAGCTTGGACTACAATAGTGTAGGGGCCATCATGCAAAGGACGATCGTAAATATATTATGGTAATGTATCTAGTGCTAAACAAGAATCGACATCATGTGCATTCAAGCTAAACAAAACTATCAACAAAGGAAAAGTACAAAAGAGACGAGTCTAGAACAACTCTAAACACTGCTGAAACTTATCCGGCGGAACCGTCCGTCGGTGGTATCTCAAGAATCCATATCAGACTGCACATGATCATAAGTCAACCATCAATCAATCAGGCCATCACCTGAAGCTATCCCGCGACGCTTGCAACCCCAATCCCACTGTCGCTATGTTGTCCGTAGAGCACCATTTTGGATGACTCTGAATCAAGCTCGGGATCGTCGCCCTTAAGATCGTCATGTGTCTCCGAAGCACCGTCTCCATCATTCGCAACTGAACGAGCGCCCTGGCCAACAATCTCAGTGGCGGTGCTGGAGCCACTCAACCGTCGATCATTAGACACAGTGCTACCTGCTCCGTACACCATACTGTCGGCATAGCTCGTTTTTCGCTCTGTACCCGCATCACTTTCGATGTCGCTGCGGTTCTCATCCTCTTCGGGGAGCCCCTCGTTCTCTTTGTTCAGCACAGAGCTTCTGCCACCCCAGGAAGACTTTCGGTCGGAGATGTTGGACTTCACGGAGTGACTGCGCTTCAAGCTGGCAAACCCGCTGCTGACACTAGACTGACGATCGGTAGGACCGCGGTTGCCAGTCATGTTGCTCAGACTGAGGATTCGTCTCTCCTTGCCGTCCTTCGTCGGGGTAGCAGCGCCAGCCTGGGACGGTGCCTGAGACCGCTTCCTTAGTGCCATGCCAACACTGCTGCTCAAGATATTCCGAGCCTCTCGCGCAGTGCTGGAATTGCTAGCTGCACTAGGACCTCGAGCCCGAGAGCCCCGCGACTTCTTCATGTTCAGACCGTTGTTTGGCCGACTGAGCAAAACACTGCGAGCGTGGTCGAGAACACCTTCGAGGATACGCTTCTCCAGGCTGTCCGCACGGTCCTCCATGACCTGCATCTCCTCGTGGCGGAGCTCGAGAGCCATCTCCAAGCTGGAGAGCTCCTTGCCGAGTTTCGTAGTCTGCTTAACAAGGTCCTCCTTCTCGGCCTTCAAGGTCTGGATCATCTTCAGAAGAGACTCCTTCTCATCCTTGAGGTCGACAATTTCAGATTCAACTTGCTCTTTCTGTGCGTTTCTCCTCTCGAGCGCAACCGCGGCCTCTTCCGCCTCGCGGCGTTTGCGTTCGTTGTCTTCGGCTACGATTGCGGACTGAGCGGCAAACATCTCGGTCATCTTGCGGGACGTCTCCATGATATCCTTGTGCATCTCGTCCAGCTTCATCATCTGCGTGACGGACTGGTCGGTGTTAGTTGCGTGGTCGATGAGGGTATCGAGCTTGTCATGGATTGGCCCGTTGTTCTCGGCAGCGTGGTTGAGTAGCTCATCCAACTTGTCATACATCTGACTATTGGTGCTGGTCGTCTGGCTGAGGAGCTGATCAAGTTTCTCGTGCACCTGGTCGTTCGTTACCCGCTCGACCAAAATGTTCAGGGCTTCCTGCACCTTTTCATTCTTTGCGTGATGCAAAAGGTTGTCTAGTTTCTCCTGGACCTTGCTGTCATCGTACTTTTCCGGCTCTGGGGGTGGTAAAGCGGGGAGCATCTGGGGAATAGTCGAAGGCAGGGCCGACAAGTCCGTCTTGATGGCCTCAGCAGACTTCTGCGAATGATCGTAATGCTGGCCGACAATGTTGAGAATCTCCTGGATAGATTCCAAGACCTGCGGGTGGAACTCATGCAGCTTGCTTTCCACACGATCAGTTGCAGCCGCAGCCCGCTCAATGTCGGATCGGGCCTGTTCCTGCTGAGTCTTCACTTCGTTGTGCATCTCTTCCATTTTGTTGTAGGAGACATCCACCTTCTCCAAGAAGGACTTAGTGTCCTCAGTGATGCGCTCACAAGCCTCATTGACGCTGTCGCCCATGGTACCGATAACAAGCTTGATGTCCTCCGCAAGAGATTTGGTATTAGTTGCGGCTTCAAGGTGGGCGCTGTCACGTTCGATGGACTCCGAGAATTTTGTATCCATCGCAGTCTGCATGTCGTCGTATTTGGCCATGACTTCACCCAGTTTCTCGTCGATCTTCGCTCCAAGCTCCACAATGATAGCCGCTCTGGTCTCGTCCTGCTTGACAAGGGAGGCGGCGTCGCGCTCCTCTTTTTCGAGCTTGTGCGCGTCCTGTTCACCGCGTGCCCGCTCGAACTCGCGATTGATGAGTTCTGTCAGTTCCTTAACATTTTCAACTGTCGTAAAACTCTCCGCGGAGACTGCTAAGCCTTCCAGAAGCTGCTTCAACTCAGAGAGACCCTCACTACTTCCGTCCAGCTTGCTTTTAAGCTCATCGCCAAGGCCTTCGACCACAGCCTTAGCCTCCTCGATCTTCTCAGCGAGACCGGCGTGTTCCACTTTACGGGCCTCAAACCCTTGGGCTGTCAACTCATTCTCAGCCTCCACCTTCTCCCTGAACTCGGTGACCAGGGCCGATAGATCCTGAACCTCCGTCTTCGTAGGCAAGGTCTCCGGGTCGGGAAGCTTAAGCTCGTCGATTTGCGTCTTCACTTCGAATATCATAGCTTCTACCGTCTGCAGGTCGGCTTTGACCAATTGCTCAGTGTCGCTCCCACCTTCTGGGTTTTTGCCTTTCAACTCGTCGAGGGCCAGCCACATATCCTTCATGAGAGTCTCCAAAGTACCGATCTCAGACTTGGTCGGGCCCTCAGCTTCCAAGCGGGTGCTTAGTTCGAATAGGGCTTCCTTTGTCTCCTTCACTGTAGTTTCCAGGCTGCCCAGCTGCTCGGCTCTTGCGAGCTCATCCGCGGCGGGGAACTTCATCTCATCGAGCTGAGCCTTCGTGCTCCGCAACAAGGTCTCGATCGCCTCCGTGTCCTCCTTCTTGGCAGTTGTGTCATCTGCAGGGTTCTCGCGCGCCACAATACCCGTGACGGAGCCCTGGAGTTCATGTAGGCCTGCCAGGACCTCATCCAGGTGTTCTTTCTTGAGAGCGTCTGTAGCTGGTTCCGCGGCGCGCGGTGCAGACTCAATGGCTTCGACCTTCGTTTGAAGCTGGGAAATGAGAGATTTGAGCGCTTCCATATCACTACTAATGTCGGGTTGACTATGTGGCGTAGGTTGGCTGGGTTGATTGGCAAGCATCAGCTCTCCACCTCTAGTTGTGGTAACGTCTTCGGCGTCCAGCTGGGACTTGCGCAACATCTCGACGTCGGCTTTGAGACTGCTAAGTCCTTCCTTCAAAGTGTCAAGAAGTTCGTTGTAGTCGAACTCCACTGGTCTTTCCAACAGTTTGCCCAGGTCATCCCGGATATTCCCAACACCATCATTGAAGACGTCAATCAGATCGCCAGTTGAGAACTCATTGTCGCCAAGATCTCGCGAACGACTGCCCTCATCACGGAAAGTCTCGAGGTTTTCCCGTAGAGCGGCGATAATTTCGTCCTTATCGGTCCTCTCACCACGGAAGCTTTCAAGATGCTCGCGAAGCGCAGCAATGATCTCATCCTTGTCATTCGTCTCGCTCTTCTCACCCCGGAAGGTGTCAAAGCTCTCACGAAGAGCAGCAATAATCTCATCCTTATCACTTGTCGTGCTTTTCTCGCCCCGGAAGGTCTCAAAGCTTTCGCGCAGGGCGGCAATGATCTCATCCTTGTCATTTGTCACGCTCTTCTCGCCCCGGAAAGCGTCGAGGTTCTCACGGACAGCTGCAACAATTTCGTCCTTATCAGTCCGCTCCCCACGGAAGCTTTCAAGATGGTCACGAAGTGCAGCGATGATATCATCCTTGTCACTCGTCACGCTCTTCTCGCCCCGGAAAGAGTCAAGGTTCTCACGGAGAGCGGCAATGATCTCGTCTTTGTCACTCTTCGGCGCTTCGGGCTCCGCACGAACAAGGCTCATGTTCATCGATTCCCTAAGCTGCTCAAATTCTTGTTTGATAAGGCTGGCAATATCCTGGTTCTTGGGGATTTTCTGAGCCTCCGAGGCATCGCGAATGGCGTCGAGGATTTCATCCTTGTCACTGGAGGTGCTCTGTTCCGTCCGCAGTAGAGAGCTGATAGTAGATCGAAGGTGTTCAAACTCCTTCTCCATTGCATCGAGAAGCTCTGGGGTATCCGGGTTGCGGGGAACACTAGCCACTACGCTCTCGGCGATTGTCCTTTCCATGTCCGCCTGGAGCAGTCGGAACCCTTCCTTCACAGTGTCCATGATTTCATGCGTGCCAGAGGCTTCGGCGGCGGTAGCAGCGTAGCCTTCGACCTCCTGTCGCACCACGGCGATGCCGTCCTTAATTGCGTCCAGAATCTGCATCGTGTCGTTCTCCTTAGCCAGGGA